TATTTAACTTACTAATCTTTTCTATAGAAGTAAGATTTAGGGCTAAGAAGGCTTTATTAGTAAGAATAAGACTAAGTAAGGTAATATATAGACTAAGAATAAGAGATAGATTAAAGATAATCTTAGGAAGTAGGAATATATTCCTAGTATCTTTATAAATATATTATATAGTAAAACTAAAAAGGATTTAGAAAGGTAAAAAGAGTATAATTAAAACTTATATATATTTTTTATACTAAGATACTACTTTATAAACTTATATATAAACTTAATCAAGATCTAATAAGGCTTACCTTTTAGGTCCTAGAGTAGGGTTATAATAATATAATAATAGTAGAGATTTAGAACTACTAAAGGCCGATTTCTAGAGAAGGTAGATAGATAGTAGAAGAAGGTAAGTTATATAATATTACTTATATATATACTTCTTCCTTATTATTATAAGGTTAGTTTATAGAACGCTTATAAGATCCTTAACATATATAGCTGTCTTTTTATAACTTTTTATTAATAATCTATATTTCTTCGCCAGCTTTCTTAAGATCTATAAAAAGACGTAAATATTTATTAGCCTATAATCTAAGGTACTTTAAAAGAAGTATAGTAAGTAAATAAGAAGTACTGCTTATATAATATATATTCCGGTTTATTTTACCTTTAATCTTCTTACTAATTATCCTTTTATATATAAGCTAGAAGACCTTCTAGTATATCCCGAGGGTATTTACTAACTTAATTCCTATAAGCCTCCTCCTACTCTTACCTTAACGTTAATTTAATATCTAATTAAAGAAGGCTTTAAAAGTATAGTAAGAGATAGCCTATATTACCTAGGCTAGATTCTTTTATATGTATTTATAGTACCTTTAAAATATTAGTCTAATAATTTAATAGTAGAAGATAGTTAATAAAGAATATAAGATATATACTAACTAAATTAAGCCTTACTTATATTAAAGAAAAGAATACTATTATTACTATAGTTTTTATCTTTATCTTCGGATTTAGTAGAGTTATTCTCTTAATTAACATAGTATTCTAGTAAGTAGGTATTATTCTCTATAGTGATCTACGCTAGATTAGCGTTATTATATTCTTTAACGTTAGAATTAAGATAAGTTAGCTTAGTAGTAATATTCATTTCCTTATATTTATCCTTTATATTAAAGTAGCTCTTAATATCTAATATATCGCTATTATCTAAGGAAGTACTTATAGTTAGTTAGTAATAATATATATTAATTAGACTTAAAATAAATATAATAGTAATATAAGAATCTAAAAGTATAAGGTGGAATAGAATAAGAAATAATTAATTTATAAGAAAAGAAAGAGTAGAATAAAGAAGAGTAGAGGATAGTATATATATAGTCTACAAAGTTAGAATTAGAATAAGAAAAAGGAAACTAATAATCTTTTTTTAAATATTCTAATATACTTAAGATTAACTAAGGCTTACTAAGGCTATACTATCTTAGCTAACCATACGGAAAGTATTAGGGTTGCGCGAGATTTTAGTAAGTGAATACTCGGAAATAGCGACTAAAACCGCCGAATTTCGCGGTTACTTTACCGTTTACTTATTAAATATAGTAATAATGTGACGGTTCTAACCGTCACCACCATTCGGATCACGTGGTCTCGCTTAGCGACCCACACCAAGTATTTAGATCGAAGCTCTCTCGAGCTCTCCTCTTCTCCTCAGCTTAGAATCTTTGTTTAATTGACATTTCTACGATTCCACAACCTACACTGTGGGCTTTGCGTACGTGTCGTCACAAATAATACCGATTATTACGATTTTAAGTATAAATTAAAGCCCTTTAATTAACGTATCTTATATAGGGGGCCGTATATTAATAGTATATAAGCTAGTCCTAATACACGCTTATAAAGTAGGTGTGAAATGCGCGGCTCGGTGAGGCTTAAATGCGTATATACCCCTACCGTAATACTAAAACTCGACTAACCTAAAAACAGGTGTATCAGAGCTAACTTTTATCGTACCGACTTCTATATAGGCTCAAAAGAAGTCGTTTAATTGCCTCTATATAATACGTATCTGCGAGCCAAAAGCGACCGGTGCGCATTACGTTGTTACGAAGTGTTTATTGTACGATGTGGTCGAGTTTTGGTGTTGCCGCAGGGGTGCATTTGAGCCTCATATACCTACGTACTTTGTAAGCGTACAACTCAATGCGCCACGGTCAGATTTGGCTCGCAGATACGTAGCATATAGAGCTAATTAAGCGCTTTCTTTTGAGCCTATATAGAAGTCGGTAGGACTACATTAACCCTGATGCACCTATTTTTACGTAGGTGGCTATATGTCGGTACGTAGGTGGGAGCCTTAGCACTCCTGTTCTTACTTTGTACGTACCTACCTAGGACTAAATACTTCAAAATAACTTAATACGCCACGGTCGTATTTAGCTCGCGGATTAGTATTTTGTATAGCTAATCGAGGGCTTTCTTTTAAGCCTATATAGAAGTCGGTAGGACAAGAATTAACCCTAATATACCTGTTTTCAAAGACGTTTATCGCTTAGTTTTAAAGGGCTTAAAATAACGGTTTACTTTTCGATAACTATTCTATAACTATACTACTTATTAAGACGTACTGAACTAGGATTTATAGAGCGTATTTAGTACTATAAATCCTAGTTCAGTACGTCTTAATAAGTATAGTAGTTACGAAATAGTAGTAAAAGAGCTAGAAGGCGAATTTAATTTAAAGAAAGTAAAAATAGCTATTTTTAGCTTTAACACGATATCTCGATATCTTAGCGTAGGTTTACCCCCCTAAAAATAATACTATATAAAACCTAAATATCGAAAGTACTTTAAGAGAGGGGGGGAAAGTACGTACCTATTATAGTAGTAAACTATTAGAGGCTTGAAATCTTTATTAAAAAGTTAATTTAGAGCCTGTAGTATAAACAATTACTATTTTCCCTTAGACCCTTAAATAAAGGCTAGAGGTGGTAGGCGTCGGGGTTAGAGCGGGCCGGGGCGAGTGGTCGGGGTAGTGTAACGAATACTCAAACTGGCTAACTAAACTTGGCTGGGTGTTCGCTGGTTGGTACGCTATGATAAGAAGAAGACTATCGGGTTGTTCACTTGGAAGTGAACTCGTTACTTGTATCAAAGATGTCAAACTAATATGACAAGATTGATAACTAAGTTGAGCACGAAGCTCCTATCTAATAGCAGACGTGCCAGTCCTATATAGAATCCTCATTCCTATGATCGCTGCTGGTCGCCGCGATCAAGACGACCTGGCCGTTGTAGAACTCGTTACTTGTATCAAAGATGTCAAACTAATATGACAAGATTGATAACTAAGTTGAGCACGAAGCTCCTATCTAATAGCAGACGTGCCAGTCCTATATAGAATCCTCATTCCTATGATCGCTGCTGGTCGCCGCGATCAAGACGACCTGGCCGTTGTAGTCGCTCGCGACCAAGCGACCACTATTGGTCACGTGATAACAATACAGAGAAATCCCTGGATCGCTTAGCTACTCCAAACGATCCCTATTTGCTATAAGAAACCTGGATGTGCCTGTCGAGGGTTGCGCCTCTTATTATGACAAGTATCACGTGAGCACGTGATTCGTGACAGGTAGGAGCGGGCGTGGGTACTAGTGTAGGTAGGGTAGGGTAAATAGGGAGCCTACTACTAAAAGCCTTTATAAGAGGGTCTAGGTACTAAGATAAAATCTATACGAATTTGTTTTTATACTTAGTATATAGTACGAAAGAAACTCTATCTTACGCTCTTAATACTCTTTATTATTAGAAGTACTATATCTTATAAAGGATATTAGTGTATTTAAACAGCTACTATAGTTAATTATAACTCTTAAAAAGTAGACGGTTAGAAAATTACTACTTCTACCCTAGCGACGTAGATAAAACCTATCTACGACTTATTCTTTTCTACTAGGAAACCTCTAATCAAAAGTAAGTCTAAGTAAGGAATCTCTAAAGTCCTAGCTAAATCGAGATATCTAAATCTTGTTATATACCTACTTATTCAATCTAATACCTAAAAAGCTATAGAAAAAGACCCTACACTCTAAGTTAAAATTACCCTCGGAAGTGTTATCAACCCCCCTAATCTCAAAGCAAGAATCAATATCCAGCTTCTGAATAACCACCCCTCTTTATTTCCCATGAACCGTTTACCACATCGACGTTAGCATATCTTAAGTCTCTTGAAATTCTATCTTTGCTTAGACCACATTTATCATATGGTATGGAGTTCAACTCCTCCGACCTCACAGAGCAGCAAAATCCATCGTATTCTTATACTCGCAAATAAAAAATTAACTCCATGTAAAAGAACTATCACTTAAGCAAGCAAGGAGACTAACAACTCTACCACTGTAAGCATTCGACAACGAGCTACAAATTCCCATGCTCTTTCCACGGCGTAGACAGAAACCCCTACCCCCTACCCAATCCCTTATCTACCCCCCATTCCTTACAACTATACAAATCCCCACCAGTCGTCAATCACTACTATGTTGACTCAACTCAATCACACTATACTTACAATGGCCCCTAACACGCTTCATCAGACAACGGCTCAAAGAGTCAAAACCGAACCTCCAGAATCGCAGCTCAACCATGCGACATGGCATAGAAAACGGTCTTGTGAATTGAAAATGTTGGCAGGGACATATGTAGGGCGGTTTTGATGAATCTTGTTTTCAAACTCATTTACCTTCTGTGTTCAACGGATAGCTTTATACTAGTTGAGGGGCAGGTAATAGTAACAGTGCGGGAAAACGATGGGAAGCAACCAAGTCGAAGTCTTTCCGTTACACCATGCCAAATTTCGTGTGGTACATAATTTGCGCGAGAATCATAAAATGTGCCAATCAAATTACGTAGGTAACAATTGTCCCATCACCGCTGGACCGATTTTTGCAGCTTTGCGCGAATACCACGACTCACCTGTCAATAGGCAAGAGAAGACCCACGCATAACAACCCTCAGTACCACAAAAATATATTGTTGTCATAGAAACTGCTGTATTGTACAAACAAGGATAGAAAAGGGAAAATCCTGATTTAGCCCATCCATCTATCGTATCATTAAGTGAGCACCAACGTCCCTTGGTGCCCACCCATCCACCAAGCCAGCGCCTAATCCTTATTGTATAGTACGTAATTTCGAAAACAGGCCATTATTTCAAGAGTAAAAGCATGGGTATTCATCGAATTAGAGATTCGCTCCGTTGTGAGTTTGGGGAAGTTGTGTTTGGAGGTTGTTCGGTCGTAAGAGCCCTCGTTGGGAAGTTTTCGAGAGGTTTCGACGTCGTAGTGTGGATTTACACTTGTTCGGCTCCCCATCCTCCGTCTGCCTCTCTGTGTGGAAGAAGATTGTCAGCTTTTGTCATTGGGAATGAAGAAACCCGGCAAATTTTCGTACCTCATGTTTTGTGGTGGCTCGATGGATGGGATAAACTCGAGAACGCAGTATGCAAGACCAACTAAGGCGATAGAACCTCCGGTGAAGTTGCTCACCAAGCCATTACCAAGTACAATAGATCCAGTGAAGATGTAGACTTGGGAGATACGTTAGCGGACTGCAGAGAAGTATGGGATTGGTTGAACGTACAGAGTCCTCGTCCAATGAAAGAGAAGAGGAAAGACGCATATCTCGATAGCTGAGGTGGGATTTGGAATTCTGGAGGTGACATCAGTATACAAATTTAATTCGCGAGCTTCGTAGCTCCAAATCAGAGAACTAACCCAAAAGGATAATAGCTGTGAGAGGCAAAGTTAGCAGTGAGCTCAAAGATCCACCAGACTCCCCAGACTTACAAAGACCAAAGAGCACCACGTATATGCCGACCATCAAGTGTGAGCTTCACCAAGATCAGTTTCAAGCTCCCAAACCGGATTTCGCAAAAAACCTACAATGCGAATGGAAACAGGTTCCAGAACCCGCTGAAGGTCAACAACCCACCGACAGCCAAGTTCACAATACGGCTATGAATCCATAACAATTAGCAGGTGGTCGAAATGCAGCGTGGGAGACAATGGCAGAAGGCGCAGGGAGAGAGAGCTCCTTTCCGCTTAGCTCTCGGAGGAGCTGGGGAGGACTCACAAGGCGTCAGAGAAGTCCATGATGGATTTGATGGGGGTTTTCAAAGGTAGAAGTACGGTTTCGGATGGGAGGAGATGGGATATGGGGATGCGCGGTGTTTGCGGGTTCTGAGAGTTCTGTTGATGGATTGAATAGCTGGCAGCTCTGAACTTGTGTTCGCGATTTGAATCACTGGTTTTACAGGGGTCCTCAAAACCCGCACGCTTCCTGTGGCACAGCATGCGTGGCCAGAACACTCATGAGCACAGCCTTCAACACCATGCCATTCAGAAAAGCGGCCAAAATTTATCACCATCAGATTGACGCTAAAATATGGAATTGAAGTGGATATTGATTGTTTTGCTTTTCGTTTTGTAATACGTTCGCAGAATGACATGGCTAGGTCACACTGGAATTACCACTTCCTACCTCTGCGAAAGGGACTGAGAGAATTCTGGTGCCTAGTAGAGCCACGCGTCCACGGCCAGAGTGACGATAGTATGGGTATTTTTAGGAGTCAAGACAGTTCTTGGGCTGGTGCCCTACCAGTACAATACTAAGGGGGTGCTCGCTTGCACTTATCGCTTGTCACTACCAGTATGAATAAGTAGTGCGGTTTGAATAGGTGCTTGGCGACCAAAAGAATCGGTCTTCTCAGACTTGAGACAAGAGACTCTTGCTGCTCATCCAAAAAATCGAACTTCAAATATCCTCTTCGATATTTCAGCATCCCTCGTTACTCGGGGGTCCAAATACCCAGACACTCTTTTCACAGGGGTACAAGCAGGACAAATGGTAGAGTACAGTGGGAAGTGTAGAATCTTGAAAACAGCACTGGAAGTCTCCCATCTCCTTTGTGCAATTGGAACTCATACCAAATTGACTGTTCGAAGATGATCGCAGCTTGCTGTAAAGGCAAGTGACATGAATGATCGAGGGGTTGCAATCTGAGAGTAATGATCCATGTAGGTAGTCCAGATGGGGTTTGTAAGATAGCCAAGATGGGGTTTGTTTCCATAGTTCAACATGCTTGTTAAGGTGACTCTCCACAATCATCTCAAGGAAGCAGCCTGAGAATTCTCTTCCCTTTATACCTAGCTATTTTTCTTTTGATCATTCTCAATTCCTTACATCCTCTTTTGAAACTTCCTCACTTCGCTCACACCATCTGAAAGGACAATACCAGTCACTCGAACTGTTTTGCCTTTCTCTGGCTTGTCTCGCTAGATTCGGAGAGAGCTGAGACGGGCCAGAACAGAAATGGCAAATCCTTGGTTGAATTAGCTCTACATTTCTAATCGTATACGGGTGGCAACTGAGAAGTCTTTCCTGCCAGCAGGAATTTCAAACCCAACCCAATCTACACATGTTCAAACTGATTCCCCGAAAATTGAACACCGTAACGTACTTCATCGCATCTCCAAAGTCAATAGCAACGACAATAATAAAGAAAGGAACTGCCACTTCAACCACATTCTCGTCATCCTCTTTGGCTTCAAATCTTTTACAAATCCACCTTCGCTTCTGGAACCACTAGAAATCCGCATGGCGATCAAGTAATCAGCAACCCAATCATTAGCAGCGATGATTGCTGCGCATTTTCCTAATCAAAACCAGTTTACCCAGTCTTCCAAACCCCCGGAGAAACAAGCAGCCTCACAGAATCCGGTCACCGCTTATGTGATCATGAGGAGAAAACCAGGAGGTCAAGAGCATCAACATTACACATCTCACTTCGAACCTGCTCAATCCAATTGAAACAGTGAGAACGAAGCCTTTCCACAATGACGAGTATATCTCGCACTCGAGGAGTTTTCAGGTATGACGAAGAGACACCCCCAACGTGCCTTATCATCAAGACTCATCTTTGATACCATAGTCCCTCTATTTCAACTGTTGACTCAACTTGTGAATTCAGCTGGAGTAGCAAAGTCGGCAAATTGAAGTCCTTGAACGAAGAACTCTCACATGACATTAGGGCTTTGTGAATTCTCTTAGTTCTACATATTACTTACTTCTAGTCCCTAATACTCTTTTTCTAAAGGCTAGTTGAGTGCTTATCACGCTAACTATTGTTTACTACTTATATATTCTTACTATATCTTCTGCTTTCACTTAGCGTTGTAAAAAGTTACTTAACAACTAGTATACTACTCAGCGGGGTTAAGTTAAGTATAAGTAGTAGGTTTAGTTCAGTTAAGTAGGCTTAAATTCACTTGAGCTGAGTTCCGTAGGTGCTACTACTCAACTCAACTAGTAACTTAATGCAACTCGATTCCAACGCTACTTTCTCTTCCTTCTCTATAATACTTTAAAATTATAGTAAGATGCATTCATAGAACCTACCGTTACTTTTTCCACACAAGTATTTCTTGTGCCTGGCACTTCTTCTCTCTTTAGACAACTTTTCGCTAATTCAAAAGGATTATATTCCATACTCTCAACTCACACCATAGCCTGGGTGATTGCACGTACGAGTTTACACAACTACTCATTCCGCGACTCGACCTTCGCAAACCACCATCAACACACTTTCAATTGAATCTCCACACCGTCTATCAGTACTCCCTATTAATTCTATCCAAAGTGCATTAAGCAAAAGTCTACCTACATACTCTACCCCGCTATAGCATTCACCGCGACAGTATAGGAATATCACAGACCCTACCTACACACTACAAGCGCCTCCTCACCTTCCCCCCCCCCCCNCCCCCGCAGACAGTTCTTTCACACCCGCAAATCCGCGATGCTTAATACAATAACTGAAGAACTCCTCGTCGATATAAATGATATCAAGCTCACCTCTAGCGACGACCCAGAAAGTTGAGCAACAGTCTCAGTACCTATTGATAACTATGCCGGCATTTATAAAGACGCTAAACTATAGAATACCCTTCTATCCCACAAATCCCAGCCTTTTCTTAATCCTTTTTTTACTCTCCTGTATGCAACCACTCCATCGTTGATTCGTAGTTCCTTCTTGCCCAAGGGGGGTCAAAACTTATTTATATTACCCTCTGATATCTATCTATTGTCTAACCAAACCTCGCTACCATGGACAACTCCGCCGCCTCGGTCCCCCTTGGGGGCGAAGAGTACTAACTGTAGTAAGGCTGCTTAGATTTGTCTCGGGATAAGTTTGCTGGTGCTGTTGATTTACTGTCATTAGATGCCTAGATAGACCTAGTATAGAAGCGTTGTATTGCTTATCCTTCTTAGCAGAAATCTATAGTATAGGACACTAGTAGTAATTAGCGTTCTCGAGATAATATTACCTAAGATAACTTCGCTAAAATTCTATCCGAAACCTTCATTATACTATAAAGATATAGTAGAACTCGCTTTATGAACATCTATTAAATAATAACAAAAAGTAAGAAGTATAAGTAGCCTTACCTAATACAAATAACACTAAACCCCTTATTTCTTTTTATCTAATCCTAAATCCTAACTATATTTAAAAAATCATTCCTTTATACTCCTAATAATACTCTAACCGTAAATACATATAAACATATATCTAGCCTAGTAAATCCTCGTAATCAACATAAATAAAACCCCTTATTTAACTTAACTCGCTAAGTATAGAATAATTTATATTATCCGAGTAGTATAGAATAAGTTATTCTAAGGTCTTATAGTACGTAAGGGTTAGTTTGTAAAGGTTCGATTTCGAGTTTCATGGTGAATAGCTTTGCACGTGACATACCCCCACAACAGGGGTATTTGTAGATACTTAGGTAGTTCCACCGCGGGAGTCTCTCCTTCTCTCCTTGCGGACAATCTATTCAATATTCCACCCCGACATAGTTCGTCTATTTGTTTTATTTATTTAAAAGTAATCTTAAAGTCCCTTAGGTAACTTATTTATATAGCCTTTCTAAATAAATAGAAATAATTTACTAGGAGAAGAATTTACTAGAAGAATCTATCTTATAAACCTTCTACTTATGTTAGAAGGTATTAGATATATAAATAACTTAATCAAAGCTTGTAGGATAATCAAGCAAGGTATATTATTCTTAAATCTACTGTCTCGCGTAAGATTTAACTTGTGACTCGGTTGTCTAGAATATTCCAAGTAATAACAACATCAAAAAGAAGAAAAACATCTACTCCTACTAAACTTACAAATTTCATATTAGTATCACGCGTAAACACAAACAACACTCATCATTTTTCAATGTACAAATGCCCATTTTATTCTTCTATATACAACTATTAACAAGAAAAAACCCAAAGAACAACCCAACCAGGGTATTCCTAGTAATTACATTCTCTCTCCGTGATGATATTATCCTTCATGAATCTTCGTGCATCTTTATCATCTGACCGCATACAAAAAAGACAAAAACAAAAACAAATATGCAGAACTCCATCGTCAAATGTTTATCCCCTTATCGGAAACCCGAGCCCTTCGGTGTTTCCAAGTATGACGAAAACAAAAATGCGTGACATCCAAATGCGCCTTCGCCGATGCAATGGTAAAGAAAAGTCGTTGGTACAGTCGTAAATATTGGTACAGAATTGGGAGGGTGGTAGAGGTGAAGGGGGGTGGCGGGTGGAAGGTTGGTGGCTATGTGGTCCGTGAGGACACCTATTCATGGTGGAGCCTCTTAAATTCTCTGGCAGAGACAAGTCTTCTTCTCTTCTTCTCCTTTCCCTCGTCATTGTTATCCTTTACATCCTCGAATGAAGGTGGTGGTGATGGGAGAGAAGATGCTGGTGAAGTACTGGGAGTTGCCGGTGATAGTTTGGGCTCCTCCCTCTTGACGTTAAGCTTGATCTTAATTGACTGGTATGGTGCCATAGAATTGGCACGCGAAGGTGCCGGAGTAGACTTGGAGGAGGTTGCGCCACGTTGGAAAGCCTTCTTCTTCTTGAGAGGCACATACTCAGTATCAGAATGTGGCTCGGCTTTGTTTTTCGGGATTGATTTCAGAAAAATTCGGCTCTTGTGTCGCTTATTTGAACCAGGAACCTCGATATCCCCCTCTGACGCGTTTCGCTTACGCTTAGGCTCGGTCTTGGGAGCGAGAACTTTGTCACTGCCAGCGATAGATGTTGATTTGACGCCGGCGGGTTTTCTGTCCTCGGAGACCGGCTCGACCTTGAGTTTGATGGTTGGTTTTAATGGTGTCTCGGTCTTCCGACGCTTATTTGGACCGTTGACACCGCTGTCGTCTTCATCGTCATGATCACGCTTGACACTTCCGGTTCCATCTGACGGAGTGAGACTTCCTGTTGTGCCTGGATAACTACTATACTCCTCATCCTCATCCTTCTCCTTCTCCTCCTCGTCTAAGAGTCTGCTTGCGGCCTGGGCAATACAACCACTGCAAGCCCCAAGAGCCTTGCGTACTTTTTCCTCGGAGTACGGAAGGGTTTTCATGAGTTCTGCTACCTTCTCATTTGTGGCAGCGATGGTAGATTTGTCCGGGGGGGTAGGTGATCTTGAGGTGGACCACTTTGTTTTTTCGCCGTCGGCCTTGAACTGAGCGAACTTCTCCCAATCAAAGACAACGTTAGCAGGACCCTTGAACGGACCCGCAATGTTTCGGACGGTAGAATAGTGTTCATAGTCCTAGTGACACGTCAGTAACTGGTAAGATACGGTCATGAGAAAGAATACTTACGTGTAATGCAAGGAACAAAGTATCTCTTCGAACACCGTCCTCCTTGTATGGGAAGTAGAGAATGTGACTGTAAGACGTAAAGATAACAACATCCTTCTTATACGCTTGTGTAAAGCCCAAAACTTCTAGGTTGTCTCCGTACACGCCAGACTTTGACATATTCTTCAGGTAATTCGACCAACTCTTCGCAGTATCTTCCGCCGTAACCTCCGCGGCGGGCTCTGTGAGGGCGCCAGCACTATTTCGCTTGGTACTGCGCTTTGGATTACTACGAACGCCTCCTCCTGGGTGAACTGTCATACGTGTCATATATTCTGCTGGATTGGCGCGCATCTCGTCGACGGTACGCTCTCGGATTGTACGATTCGCGCACTCGTTGCCGTACATTTGATCTGACAGTGCGTTGAATAGACAATTTCCTGCAATAACACCGAGCAGTCAGCGACGTGGTTCTATTTCTCAATTGACTTCTCATGCGCGGAAAAAGAGGGGCAGGGAAGGGGGTTGCGCGGGGTCCTGCTCGAGACTTACCATCTCCAGTGGTATTTGTGTACATGAGACCGTAGTCCGCCAACAAGGGGAACTCGTCCGTGGCCGGAGCCATTTTTGTGGTGTTTGTTGTGTGAAAGGGGGCAAACTGCGCAGAGAAAATTCAGGAAGCTGGTGTTCCAAAGAAACCGACCAGAAGAGCAATGTGTGGTTGTGCGCAGAAAATTCAATGCATGGAAAGGTCAGTTCCAGCTATCGAGGAAGTTGAGGGACAATATTTGGATATCTTGGCGCGAATTCTGCCAGGCGGTGTCTCGGCAACAATCGTAAGGGTGCGGAGGATGAATCAGAAGGGTTTCTGGGAGGGGACTTCACTGCATATTATAGTCTTGTTTTGACGTAGAAAAAAAAGGCGATCATTCACTATTGTTGTCCGTCTTGAATTGTGACATGACAATAGCTACCTACTTACTTAGTAAATAGTATTAGTATCTGCCTTGGTATTGTCGAGGCACTAGGTGAAAAGGTCTACGAAGGCACTGCTGGTGCTGTGCGAGTACAGCGGCTAAGTATTGTGATCCCTACACCCCTGCCATTTAACTCTAACGGCAGCGCATCATAACAACCACACAATTAGAAATTTGATACAAATCGAGATCATCAAAGGCTATTAATCGAGGGGATATCCCAATCTCAAATGAAATTATTACAATGGGGTTCGCGTAAGGAAGAGGAAGTTGAGTTAAGTGACAGCAGTGGGTGGTTACAACACATCACCGGTCCGATGTTCCTCCGTTCTATTGCAAACCGCCCCGCCCCACTAGACACGATACGCGACTCGGTGTCCCTCAGGTACGGAGTGTTCAGGTGCAGATAGGTAAACTGTCGAGCCACAATACTGGGTGGAATGGTTGTGACTAAGGGTTCTTTCTTGATGTACATGCAAGGAATATGCTAGTGCCTCTGCTAGCCTCGCTACTGCGAGTCTTTGCAAGAGGCACACGTACTAGAGTTCGTCGTGGGGAAGTGAGCAGCACCCACGTCATCCCGAGGTTAGGCAAATAGCACACCGTTGGAGTAGCACCAGCACCAACACCAGGATACCATGCATGGATTCGATTGGTACTAGTTTAGGTGTTATACTGAGTTCACAATCAAGAGTGGGCAAGTATGGGCTCACGTCCAATTATATGATATACCCAAAGGTAAGGACGACGGTATCACTGCACAGGAATTGTGATGGCATTCACTTGGTAGCATACATTCAAGCTCCTCTCCGAACGAGACACCTCAAGTATCTCTGAATTTTTGTCCTTTTTTCCCGTACCCATCAAGCCAGGAACATCTTAGCTACTGCTACCCTGACTCTATCAACCCTCGCCTATCCCAACAGGTCACATATCACACTGCTTCGAAAACTTCATCATGCCAAATATCGTCGTAGTCGGGTCCGTTTTCATCTTCTCATCCACTTACCTACCCAGGCAATGCCAGCTAACGATTTTCCCAGCGCCGGCGTCACTGGTCTAACAACGACCCTCTTACTATCCAAAAAGCCAGGTTACCATGTGACCGTCATCGCCAAACATATGCCCGGAGATTATGATATTGAATATACGTCGCCCTGGGCCGGAGCAAACTGGTTGCCGTAAGTAATCATGAACGACGTAAAGTCATCCACTGATCGATGGTTCGCAGTATGGCCGATGCTGCTGGAAGTAAATGGGAGAAGACGACATGGCCTGAACTGGCTCGACTTGCTAAGGACGTCCCGGAAGCTGGAATTCATTTTCAAAGTAGGTATTGTTCAGTTTCACGGGTTATTCTTGCTAGCAAAGTCGTCTTTGGTTCAAACTAAAATGGCCAAAGTCAAGTGACTGAACCTACCCACCTGCTACCTGCCATGTGTAGCATGATTCTGTTATCAGACCAAACAATCACCGTAGTACGGAATTCCTTCTCAGTTTGCCTGTCTTACTCAAAAGTCTTCCTCCCTTTCTCCTCAAACATGATTGCAAGTATGCCCTGTCTACATGTCTTGATTTGTACCATGGCAACAAGCATCTTACTGCTGTATTCGAATTTTTGATCCAGGTCTATGTCTTTTCTCCTACAATTCATTTTTAAATCATCCTATTTCTTCCACACCAGTAGCCCTACTTTCACGTCTGTCGTCGAGATATTCCCAACTGACATAGCACAGACACTGTAATTTATAATCGTGAAAAAGATTCCAACACAGCCACCGGCCTCTGGCTCAAAACCCTAACCTCCACCGAACCATGGTTCAAAAATGTCGTCTCTGACTTTCGAATCGTCCCTGCAAAAGACATCCCTACATTTGCAGACTCTGCAACAGCCTTCACATCACTCTGCATCAACACCGCCATATACCTCCCATACCTAGTCTCCCAATGTCTTGCCAACGGAGCAACATTTACACGTAAAACCATCTCCCACATCTCCGAGGCTGCTTCCCTTCATCATAGCGGTCAAAAGGCTGATGTGATTGTGAATTGTACCGGTCTACTTGCGTCGAAATTAGGAGGAGTGATGGATGCAGAGGTTATCCCCGTCCGTGGTCAAATTGTGGTAGTCCGCAACGACCCAGGCGTTATGCTAACCATCTCCGGCACCGATGATGGTGAAGACGAACTCACATATATTATGAAGCGTGCAGCAGGTGGTGGAACCATCCTTGGCGGTACCTATCAAAAGGGAAAGTCGGATTCCAATCCGGATCCAAATACCGCATTGCAAATCATGCGACGAGCTGTGGAACTGTGTCCCGCTCTCACGAATGGAAAGGGAATCGACGCTTTGGATGTTGTTAGACATGGTGTTGGTTTGAGACCTTATCGAAATGGGGGTGTGAGACTTGAGAAGGAGATGATTGAGGGATGCTGGGTGGTTCATAATTATGGACATGGAGGTTATGGATATCAATCCTCTTATGGGTACTCGGATGATGCTACTGCGTTGGTGGATGAGGTTCTAGCACCCAAGGCTAAGTTGTAGGTTTGCGAAAATCTGATGACACTTTCAATTTTCCTAGGAAGACTTTCTATACCTCCATGTTACTTTACTGTAAGATATTGATTACATGGAATCGAACCAGCCACTTTTTTATAAGGTTTTCCCCTCGTTGACATATGTAAGAAAAGTTGGGTGGCTGAAGGTTTCCAGCCATAACCCTCATAGCCAAGAAATTGAATGCAGGAACACAAAGTGTATGATCGGGTAGTCAGTCGGAGAAGTCTTTATTCAAGAATCCTGCAGTCACGCAATTTTGTTATCAGTATGACCTATCATTGAGCTTATTTATGTTAAAACCTAGGCATAAACGCACGGGCGTGGGTCGATGTTAGTCGTAAGAAAAAACGATATAAGTATCCGTAGGTAGAGATAAAATCCTCCTAATGAAGAAATCTCCATGTTTGATTCCTCTTCAGATTTACTCCTCGTCATACTACTCATCAAACAACCCTCTGAGCTTGGAAACTGAAAATCTACTTCCTGTCGTCAATTAATGTCAATCATCCTCTCACGATATCAATGTCCATCCTTCACAACCCAATCCTCCCCTACCCCCTCCAAGTCAATGGAGGAACCTCCATCCCCGCACCACCAGCCTCAGAATTCGACGCCCTCTTCGGCGGCGTCCTCCCCAAACGCCAAACAATAACCACCTACTGGGGAACAACAACCTACTACCTCCTCCCCCCCTCTCACCCATCCCCAGATCCCCACGCAACCCCACGAAAAGCCATCCTCATCCACGGCGTAGGCACACCATCCATCGGCCTCCTCCCCCTCGCAACCCTCCTCGCCGCCTCCTCAACCCCAACCACCATTCTAATCTACGACAACTGGGGCCATGGCCTCTCTTCCACCCCCCTAACTACCCACGTCACGGGACTCTTCCAAACCCAGATCTTGGCCTTGATGACGCATGTGAGATGGGAGAAAGCGCATTTCCTGGGTTATTCTTTGGGTGGAATGATATCTGCTTCTTTCGCGGAATTCCATCCTGAGCTCGTGGAGTCTTTGGTTCTTGTTGCGCCTGCGGGTTTGTTGAGGAAGAGTGAGTTGAGTCCTTGGACGAGGTTCTTAAATTGGGGCGGGTGGGGATGGGGATGGGAGGGTGTGAGTGCGAGGAGGATTTATGAGTGGCTTGGTCCGGGACCGGTTGATGTGGAGTGGGAGAAGAAGTTTAAGGCGAAGGGGTTAGAGGCGATTCCGAGGGAGAGGGTGCAGGTTTGGGAGAAGGAGCTTCATAGGGGTCATGTTGCGAGTTTGGTTTCTTCGTATAGGTATTGTGGGATTTTTGATGGGCATGGGANAGTGGGAGAAGAAGTTTAAGGCGAAGGGGTTAGAGGCGATTCCGAGGGAGAGGGTGCAGGTTTGGGAGAAGGAGCTTCATAGGGGTCATGTTGCGAGTTTGGTTTCTTCGTATAGGTATTGTGGGATTTTTGATGGGCATGGGAGTTATGAGGCGTTGATAAGGAATGGAGTTCCGGTTTTGGTGTTGCTTGGGGAGAGTGATCCGATTTTTGAGGTGGGGTATGTGAAGAAGGAGTTGGAGGCTTTGGGGTGGGAAGGGAGAGTGGAGGTTCTTGAGGGTGTTGGACATGGGGTTGTAGGGGAGAAGACGAAGGAGGTGGAAGGTTTTATGTTGAAATTTTGGGAGAGTTTGGGCGAGAAGTAATGGTAACATGCAGTTTGTTTCCTGCGAAGCGAGGAGCGAATGAAACTTTGGTTACTTAGCAGCAAGTAAGCAATAGCTCTCAAGAATACCTACTTATAATCTGATACTAGAGGCTCGACCCACCCTACGACATTATCTTCGAACCTTAACAAATCTACCACTAATAGTCAGTGCGTCTTCCCATCTGCGCTATCGCTTGAGGTCAGCGGAAGCAAGTGAACCTGGTAAGCAAGTGAACCCGTCTAGCTTAGGGTTTATTAACAACAGTCAGTTTTTAAACTATAAACCTCTATATCCCTTTGACGCAGTATATATACGTTTCAAATTTTGGGTTGGTGGCATCTACTTTAACTCTTGGTTTATAAGCTTATTTCCACTAATAGTATCGCATATATTTCGGTACTATATAATAAACCTACGATAGCATAAGAACATTAGTACAAAGGTTCGAAGACAATGTTATTTCTATCGATTTAAGGTTACAATTAACCCTCTACACTACGAACGCAGGGATATAAAAGGAAAGTAGTATATAGTATATAAGATTTCCTTATATAAGGAGTGTTTTCTGCCGTATTATTAGTATAACGACTCTAATAATATTAACAAAGAGCGGGACTCGAGCGACGAAGGCAATTTAGATTAGTTAGTCTTTTATAGTAATTAAATAGTATTTTAACGTTCCCGGCGATAGCCTTATATTTGCCTTTTTAATACAAATAAGCTTTAAAAACAAGCGTTTTCGGACGATTATCGCTTAAGGAGGGAATCGTAAACCCAAAAATCCAAACGTATATATACTACGTTAAAGGGATAGGCCTAAAATAAAGCCCTTCGTTTGTTGATAGGATTAAACCTACTAGACATTGTGGGAGATTTAGGAAAGAGGAGGGGATTTGTAGAGTAATAGGAGTAAGGTGAAAGAGATTAAAGGGATATAAGTAGAAGAAGAATGTTAAAAGGTTAGAAGTTGAATTAGAAGTTTCTAAGTGCTCGAACCTAAACTTAGGGTCGAGGATTAAGTCCTGATAGCAATTAATTGCCTAAGGCTATAACACTAGGTGTCTGTACAAACTACCTCTTTCGGAAGGCACGATGATTCAGACGTAACCGTTATAGTTTCGGTGGTCGCGTAGGATGTACAATATGTGGAAGACGCGATATCGGACTTAAGCAAAAATTTGTAACGAGAATTAACAAACACCTGAACAGTGGACTACGAACGACTACGTATACGCCTACCTACCTGGTGGCAAGTTTACAGCTCTGGAAATGTATAGCTTGTTCGAAAATACTTTATAATTTCAGGATCACAGGGTCCAAAGTAGAGATGTAATTCTTATTTACGTAACTATGGTTTTTTTCTAGCACGCTTGGTTTTTCGCTTATTGTCTAATTAACGAGACTACGTCGTTGAATATTAAATTACTTAGCTAGTATTTCGTATATTTAGTCTAAGAGTATCTTTTAATAACAAGGTCGTCTTTTTATATCTGTTATCTTTCGCTTAGGAATAATTTAGGTAGAGATAATATATCGGGTATGATCGAGATACGACGCTCTAAAGAAAAATGTTATTTATTAAATACAGCTATAATTAATAAGAGAGGCTTACTGTCCCGATCCTTAGAGGAATATGATAAGGTTCTATTAATTATAGAAGGTAGCACGGGCTACGATAACAAATCTATAAACTCCTATACGGATTATATAAGTCCTATTATCATAACGGTATCCTCCCTCATTCTTATAAGCGAATGTTAACTCGATAGTCTGGTTATTTCTTTTGTAACTCTGAATATACTAACGAGTTTCAGCGTATAAGCCGGTTATTTTATTAACGTTCGTCTCTAGTATAGTAGTATAGTTAAGCAAGAATTACCTAACTTTTAGATCTAATAGATTCTTAACAAGACTTAGAATTCCGTTAGTCTTAATATTACCTTCTCGAGTAACATTATACGGTAATAATTATAGGGCATAGGATATACATCGTTTAGCAAATCTCTTAAATGCCCAAGAGTAATCGACAAAGGGGTATAATTCCCAAGATCTTAAATCAGGACGGATGTTTCGGAGAAAATCCTCCTTAGTATTATATGTTATATTCTGTTGCTGACTAGATGCGGCTAGAGAAGAAGTTTGTAGACGAGTAATAGGAGCTTAGTGTAACGAATACTCAAACTGGCTAACTAAACTTGGCTGGGTGTTCGCTGGTTGGTACGCTATGATAAGAAGAAGACTATCGGGTTGTTCACTTGGAAGTGAACTCGTTACTTGTATCAAAGATGTCAAACTAATATGACAAGATTGATAACTAAGTTGAGCACGAAGCTCCTATCTAATGGCAGACGTGCCAGTCTTATATAGAACCTTCGTTCTCAGTGGTCGCCATGGTCGACTCGTCGGCCATGTCGCTCGTTTTCGTCACGTGATGTTCTAACCGAAAGAAATCCCTGGATCGCTTAGCTACTCCAAACGATCCCTATTTGCTATAAGAAACCTGGATGTGCCTGTCGAGGGTTGCGCCTCTTATATGATAAGAAGAAGACTATCGGGTTGTTCACTTGGAAGTGAACTCGTTACTTGTATCAAAGATGTCAAACTAATATGACAAGATTGATAACTAAGTTGAGCACGAAGCTCCTATCTAATGGCAGACGTGCCAGTCTTATATAGAACCTTCGTTCTCAGTGGTCGCCATGGTCGACTCGTCGGCCATGTCGCTCGTTTTCGTCACGTGATGTTCTAACCGAAAGAAATCCCTGGATCGCTTAGCTACTCCAAACGATCCCTATTTGCTATAAGAAACCTGGATGTGCCTGTCGAGGGTTGCGCCTCTTATCATGACAAGTATCACGTGATAAGTGACAAGTGAAAGACCGGGCGGCGTCCTGACAGGTCAAGCACTATTGAATACTCTTATAGCAAATGGGATCGTTTAGACTGGCTAAGCGATCCAGGGATTTCTCTTGGTTAGTATCACATGATATGGTCACATGACCGTTGGAGCTTGCAGGAGCTTCGGTTGGAGCTTGAGGATCTTGGGCTCCCTCCAAGCTCCAGAAGAACGAAGGTTCTATATATGACTGGCACCTCTGCCATTAGATAGGAGCTTCGTGCTCAACTTAGTTTAGCAATCTAGTTATTAAGTTATCACTTCTTTGTTAACAAGTGACGAGTTTACCTCCGAGTAAACAACCCGGCGCATCTGTACTTCTTACTTGCATACCAACCGTCGAAACGATTACCTTTGTCAGATAGTTTGAGTTTCGTCACATTGTTATTATCTGAGGCCTATATAAAGGAAGAAGCGGGCTTCTAAGCCCAAACAGACATAAAAGAATTGTGTAGTAGGGGCGCGGTATGATCGTCATCTGAGGCCTATGAAAAGGCAGAAGCGGGCGTCTAAGCCTAAACAGGTAGAGGAGGATTTTGTGGTGGCGACAGAGGGCTCCTGAGACCAAATTGGTATTGAAAGATTATTCGAAGAAGTCATTGTATTATTATAGTACAAGGTATTGAGAGGGAAGTCGTTGTAATAGTTATTCAGGTTTGGAACTCCTAGAATTTTGATCTAGATATAGGGTTAAAGACAACTCGAGGACATGGTTAAGCTGAAAAGAATCTAGGTATGTAAGAAGATACTACCTTGCCTGGTTTGGCGGGAAGGTTGTTTGAAACGGTTCTAAAAGTACATATGATAAATTTGGTATTGTGTATTGAGTAAAGACCATCTCCTCCTTAAAATTATTACTCCCACGGACTAGCAAAGACTCCCACGGACTAGCCAAGGGTACAAATGCTATAAAAGCTAAAATAATCATTCAACCGCTCAAATGGCTGACTGTGTAAACCAACAACCCTTTGGGGCAGCTTTACTCTTAACGGTCTTTTTGTGGACACTGCTCTTCTCCATATGCTTGTCCAGCTTGGAGATGGTACCAAAACCGGAGTTGCAGCGTGAACAATAGTATGTATGTATTCCTCGTCTTTTGAAGTCCGTTCCTCCGAACTTGTATCCATCTACACTATGTGTTTGGGCATGAGTAAGGAGCCTCTCCATTGATCGATACATCGCCTCCTTGCATTTACCCATTGGACAACAGATGCCTCCATTGATCGATACATCGCCTCCTTGCATTTACCCATTGGACAACAGATGCCTCCATTGGTCGCTTGGTCCTGTTCAGTGTAGCGAGCTTCTTGACGTAAAAGGATGTTTTTTTGCCGTGTTTGCTCTATGAAAACAAGACACTCCTGTGGAATAATTATCTGGTCATATATGCTAGCGGGGGCTGGCGTGGACTGGTCTGGTGATGCCGGAACAGATGTAGCGGGAGCAGGTGTAGTCGGAATTACGTGAAGTGTTTAAGATGGTTGAATAGTTGAATTTGTTGAACTTTTTGAACTACTTAAGCTAGTTTGGCTGGGCTTAGAGTTCCCGAGAAATTCAATTGTGATCTAATTCTATAATATATTAGTATGTAATAAGAATAAGGACATATTATCGACAAACCTGTTTAGATAATTCATATTCTCGCCTTCAAGTGCCTTAATACTATCATCACTATCATCAAGGAGCTCAATGATTTGAATGTTCTTGTCTCCGCGAGTGCTTCGAACCGACTCTGGTATATGTTGTTTAGGTTTCTTCGATAGAGGAGAAAGGTGATCAGAACTATAAGGTCTTTTTTTATTAGTTGATTTTCTTATGTTATTCCTAGAAAGAAAAAAGGGAAAAGGAAGAGAATCAGGTACATACAGAGCTCTCTTTCCAGAGATTACTTCGGCTGCCTTTGGCTTGGTTGGAAGGACGTTGGTATCAGGCGCAATGCTGTTTGTATCAGGCACAGGAAAGTTTGTACCGGGCGCAAAGATATTGGTACCGGGTGGAAGGTGTGCATGTAGGTCTGGGTCTTGTTTGATTAATACATCTGGTGTGTTATTGGTAGTATGATTATTTAAGAGGACGTTTTCTTTGGGATTATCATCATTAGCTGGATAGAGCTCTGTTATGAGGTAGTTGTACACAATTGTACAATTTGTTCGCGATTAGGTCCTGGACTCGAGGTTTTTTCAACTCTTTTCTTCAGTATGTTTGCAACTTTGGTGTATTGCGTTTGTGTGTGAGGATGTGAAATGAGGTCGAACTTTTGACATAATATAATTATCATGAGTGTAATTTCGCACTCTTGAGGAAGTTCGGGTATGCTTCATGGATACAACGTTTTGATTGGTCTCGACATCTGCTCATAAGTGGCGTAGATTTTCTTGATACTATGTACGATTAGTATACGCAGATGTACCAATACATTCTTGATATACCATAGGCCTGCTTGATTAGGTGGGTTTGGAGCGTGGTATAATGTACCAGAGGCGAGTGGACCCGTTGTAGATGGACCTAAGGCGAGTGGACCCGTTGTAGATGGACCTAAGGCGAGTGGACCCGTTGTAGATAGACCTGTGGCAGATGGACCTGTGGTAAGTTGGTCGTGAATTGAATTTGCGGTAAGGCTCGCAAAAGTGGGGGTCGCAGGTGTGAAGAATCTTGGGTTCAAGGAGGAGGTTAAGAAGGAGGATGAGGAGGAGGAGGAAGTTGAAGGTGAGTGTTGTTAGAAATAAGCGTTTGAACTGGATTTGATGTTTAGTTATAAGCAAGGTATACAAGGGGTCACATACTTATTCTTCCCCATCGTGATTAGAGTTGACGATATAGCACTCCTCTGGAGAAACAGTTGACTATTAACCAGGGTGAAATAAGAGACTTGAATCTGAAGACCCTTAGGAATAGACGCGGTAAAGCGGATGTGAGAGTCGAATTTGTTGATGCCAGGGTATCAATGAGGCTGGAAAGACTTGATTATGGGAAGGAAAGGAATAGCGGGAATTAAAGATCGGGTTATTGGAGATGCGGAGCGTTGTTGGGAATGGGGAGGGGTGTTGGAGATGGGAAGGTTGTTGGGGATGGGGAGGGGTGTTGGCGGGCATGGAAGTGTCTGTCGTATTGTTTGTGTAAATAAAGTGGAAGGAGCGATGATAATAGGCAGGTTCTACCTATATGGTAGCGTCGAGCTAGTCACCTCCTCGTCCGCCGCCCAACACCCAATGTATTTACAAGCTTCGTCTTCTTCTTAGTCTTCGTCTTCGCTTTCGTCTTCTAAGTCTGTTATCCTTAATTATAGCGCGATAACCCGCTAACACCATCGTCTTAGACTACGACTATAAAAAGGTCTAATAGTAAGGATACTAAGAGTAATATAGTAGAAATGAATCTAAAGGATGTCAAGTTTCTTATTACGTGCTTATAGAACGCTAACAGCGGTAATATTATTATAAGTTCTACTAATTTCTTTTTAATCTAGTTTTCTAAATTAGCTATTACTTAAACTACTTAATTTATTTACGAAATATAGAAATATAGGCTTTTACTTTTCTAGGCGACGCTAAAGGATATCTAGAACTTACTCGAGCATTAATAACTCTACTAATACTTATTACTTCTAGATTAATTCGACTAGTATTACTAAGGTACTAGACTATGATAATCCTTACTTTATTTAAAATTATATTTCTACCTTAAAGAAGAAATATAACCTACCGTTAAATACTTTGAAGGGTAGTAGTACTATAGGTACTACTACTCCTCTAGTTAAGGTTATTAAGGCTAAGGTACTAGCTAAGAAAGAGACCATAACTAAGAAGGAGCCTACTACGCTGGTCTAGGCTGGTGTGGCCGGAGCTGGCTAAGTAGTTCCAATTGTAGTAGTAAGAGGATGGTCCTCACTATATCATGTCAGTACAGTGTAAGGGTGAAGCGTGTTGTAAATATACCTAGGTCCGGCAGTAGCAGTAGGGATAGATTATCTAACGTGATCCATATCCTTATCATTGTCGCTATGTTCGTTTTCATCATTCGATATTTCAATAATTTCAGTAAGAGTATTACCCTTTGAAGCAAGTGGAAGTTCGCTCGAACTAGGACCCGTTAGTAATTGATCGTTTTCTAGATTCCTAATTTTGAATTCACCTCTCTCCTTTTCGCGTACGTTTTGTTTCTGACGAGCTGACAGGATGATTAATACTATGGGTTATTAGTTTTATTTTCTTCAAAGATAAAAGAAGGAAAGAAAAGACAAAACAAGAGTGATCTAAAAGTATATTACATACCTTGCTCGGAATTGTCTCAGATGTCTTCGTCAAGGTTGATGTGTTGAGAACAGGCTGGGATTTGGGTGGGAGAGTGTCTACGCCAGACTTGAGACCTCCAATTGGGCTTATTGAAGTTGAACTCAAATTAGTTGAACCCGACTCGTCGTTAGCGAGATGTACCTGCGTGGTACTATAATTGTATATTATAGTACAGATTCTTTCTCGTGTAAGTTCTGCTTTGGGAATGTTACCAAGCGTATGCGTCAACGTATTCAAAGCTTTGAGATATTCTGTTTGAGTAGTTGGGTGTGAGGCAAGGTCAAAGGCTTGACATAGAAGAATAACAATAGGATAAACTTCAAGATGGTTCGGAAGGAGATCCATTTCCTGTGGGAATAATGCACTGACGAGCCTTGATGTTTGCTCATAGGCTGCGAAGATTTGTTTTCTACTATATACCGTCAGTTGATTTGAAATATGCTAATGTATTCTTGACGTACGATGAGCTTGTTGCAGATGTATTCAATGTATTGAATGCAGATAAAACAGGTACAGATGAAGGAGAAGCGGATGAAGCAGATGTAGATACATCGAATGTAGATGGAGCAGAAGTACTAGGTGTACGATACACACCAGATACGAATAGGCTAGATGTAGGGTGATGAGGTATTGTTTTTAAAGATTTGATGGCGGGTAAAGTGTACTTGGAGGGGCCGGGGGCCAAAGGGCTTGGAGTGCTGGTCGAGGAGATAGATGGATCAAATGTAATATTCGCGACGGCAGAGGGGTTTGAACTGGACTCTCAGGAGGTTGAAGCACGGCTCGCAGAGGTGAGGCTTTTGAAAGCGGAAGAGCCTTTGATTTGGTGTTGTTGGACGGGTAGAGAGTGGGTTTATTAGGATTAATTCTTTGATCTAGAGTTATTAGTATTATAATTAACTCAAATAATTATTAATTTCTGGAGAGTAGAGTATGTAAGAAGCCACTTACTATTACTCTATCGCGAAATAGCTGTTGAGAATACTATAATACCACGGTCCTTTGTCGTACAATACTACGATCCTCCGAAAACAGCTGGGGAGATAGTCAGGACAGTTGTTAAATAAATAGAGGAAGGTGAGTCTTGATATGACTACAAGTAGAATAAAGGTGAGTGTAGAGAAATTCTACGGATAGGTTGTGTTTAATATAGTGCGGGTATTGAGTGTAAGGATAGAATCGAGGAGAAGATTAATAGTGGTGGTAAAGAATAATGGTGAGGAAGAACCCGTTGAGAGACGAGAGAGTTATTATATTAATTGGAAAGAAGGTGGAAGGAATGATTCAGTAAGTTAAGTAGTAGTATATCACGTGTAGCGAGGAACCTCAAAAGCTATTTGAAAGCTTTACTAAGATACAAATATATTATACTCTAGACCTTCGCTATTATAATAACCGAAATGTGATAAGATAATGAAATTTCATATTATACAAGCTTTTTTTTGTTTTTTTGAGCTAGACCTTTCTACTATAGCATAGGCAAGCGAGGCAAGTAAGTTAAAGGGAAGGGCAGAGGAAGCGGGGAATTTATAATTTATATATCTCATATAGAGAATTCAACTTCCCAACTTCCCACTCAATCCAAAATTCAACCCTCAATATCTCTCTAAACTCCAACTCCAACCCCACAACGAGTAACTATATAAATACAACCTCCACTCAGCAAAATATCCATCCCCCAGCGAAACGAATTCAACTATATATAAATCCATCAATGATTCAATACTCTTCCAAAGCAAGCCTTCTCAATATCTCTTCTACAGTACCAGTAAGATCTTACTCTAGGCTTTACGGAGGATACTCGTAGTAGAACGAAACATCTACCTATACCTAGCTACGTCTGAAATGCCTACCCATCAACCCCTCCATCAATCCATCAACCGTACTATATATTCCACCATCAACTTCCAACAAAACACAACAACTCGACAACACCCAAAAAACTCAACAGTAAACACCCCTTCCCTTCTACATAGGATATACATCCACACAACTCCCTCCCATGCACCTCACCGAAAAACAGTAGTTTCTCATCACACCACTCCCCTCAATACAATTCCACTATCCTGCCCGTCCAGTCCAACAGCAAGCGCAAATCAACGGGAGGACGAAGTGTTTTGGTGATTGCGTTGGGGGGGGATGTTGGAGGGTGAGAGGGGTTTTATATGTCTTGTCTAATGGTGGCCCAGTGGTTGACGAGAAGGGAAAATGCAGGAAGAGAGGAACGAAAGCAAGCTTAGGCGAGAGAAGCATATCTTCACAAGCCCACAATACATCAGCCTTGAAATCAGAATACAAAAGTCGTAAAACATCCTCAATTGCTTTCTCTCTAGCTAGGTACCAAGCAGGCAAGCCCACCTATATCAACCATCACCCCATTTACCTTCCTCCCTCAGCGAGAATCAAGATATCCATCGTACAACCCCATTTCTTCTATCCATCCCCAACAGTTTCCCCGTGGCAAGAAAGGTACTTGGAAGAGTAATTTACCCAGCAGCAATCTTCTCTACAGCAGTCCTCAAAACCTGCGGGTTCGCACCAACAACCTCACCAACCTTCTCGCCATCCTTGAAGATGAGGAAGGTAGGCATGGCACGAACACCGAGTTCCTGAGCAACATCCGGGACCTCGTCGACGTCGATCTTGACGAAGTGTATGGAGGGGAATTCATCGGAGAACCTGGGAACAAACAACGGTGTGAGCAATAAATCTTGATGAGGGGTGATGAGGTTGATGGGATGGGAATACATACTTGACGACGGTAGGAGCAATGACCTTGCAAGGACCGCACCATGTTGCGAAGCAATCGAGAATCACGATCTTCTTCTCCTTGAGACAGGCCTTCCATTCCTCTGCACTATTGTGATATCAGCATCGCATCTCTGCAACTCCCACTCTTCACGACCACCATATCTGCCATCATCTACCCTCATCATCAAGCAAAGAGGGGAAAAGAAAACATACGTGCTGATATTATGAACACCCATCTTTACAATCGTTCCACTAAAAGCTCTTCGTGTATATGTGTTCTGGAATTGATACTGCGGAATGAAGTTTTTCGTTCGGCTTTGGCGTTGAAAAGGTAATCTGGTACTCGTCCGTCTAGAAATCTCGCTAATAAGCTTCACAGGTCGAGTCAAGAATGACATTCGCATTAACAAGCAGCGGGATGACGACGTATTTGTAGGAAAGAGGAAGGCAAGGCTGAAGGGGGGGCCGATGGAAAGGGTAGGTGGTGGTGGTGTTTGATTTCTAAACCGCCGCTGGAGCCCTCAAGCGCGATGATGCCATCGGCGCACCCGCAATATGCTGAATAATCCAGAAATTTCCCTCCTCCAGCTGTTTCTCCGTGGAGGAAGGCATTGGGAAGGGGATACCGAGATGGAAGAGACGAGCATATTCCATGGGATGGGAATGCGTCGTTTCTTCCATGATGGTATGCCAAAGCAGATGATTTCTCATCCTTCGCAAGTGTGGTGTTGCGCAACAGACGCTTTTCAGGGTCGCATCGTCATCAATGTACCCCGCGATGCGATTGCTCCCACCCAGCTGGAGATGTACTGATCAATTCACCTGCGTACCTTCCAATCTGCCATGCACCCTCATCCGTAACCCAAAATAGAGAGAAAAGGAGAGGAGTACTTACAAGTATCTGCTGATGTCAGTCCCTCAGAATGGTGTTGTGTGTGTTATTGTGATGAAAGTTAAGGTTCGCTTCGGTTCCTCAGTTTATCAAGAATGGAGGGGTCCAAGTTCTGCCTTCTCGCTTTTGACATGTCCACTGACTGGACTGGTTAGAAACCACAGAAGCCACTGGAACCTCCCGCCGACCAATCTAGATCGCTCCAGCTTATCAACCACCACAGCACAGCTTTGAGGCAACATCATATTACATAGCCAACTACCTACTTCAGCCCTTCCAAGATAATCTGTCCATGACCGTCGCACAACATCCGCCTTCTCTTCTCGGAATCTTTCAATCCACTCTAAATCTAAATGTAGAAATCTAGATGTCATTTTGCGTACGGCGAGGCTGCGTCGTCATGTACCCGACACCTGATGAGTTCAGCTGAACTCGGGTATGGAAACGAAAAGTAATGTATTACTCACTCATCCAGGCAAGCAATAAAATCACAAAAGATAAGCTCTTGAGGATATTTGAAGTGGTTGAAAGTTGATTAAAATTAATCTATGTAATCCGCTGCCGCGTTCAAAGTATCGCTGGCTCGCTCATCCTCGCTCAAAACTCAATGCTTTTCAATCCAAAAAGCCAATCACAATTATCAATGATTTCGAGCCAGCTCTGTCCATCACTGTACATATAGTAGAATTAAAGCTCTCTCCCACCCCCAAGATCTCGAATCCATAGCCAGCAAATTATGCTTTTGATTTGCCACTCCTACTTAACTGCTCCGTACCAATTCCATCAAAATACATTTGGAAACCCGGGGGTATAAAACAACTCCCCGCCGCGAAATAAAATCAAAAAATCTATGTGCTAATTTGGGGGAATCAATGGTCGACGACGAAACAAAGGAAATTGTTATCGTGAAATGAATGTGGGGTGAAGAGTAAAGTCTGGTCTTCGAAGAGAGGGTTGGCATATTGGTAAGGCGTATATCGAGATTGTTGACAAGTTGATCTTACAGACGAAGCGATTGAAAATGATAAATGTTGACAAGTGGGTCGAAGCCCGAAATAGCTGAAAAGAATGTGTGTCGAGAAGATGTGGGACGTAGCCCGAAAATTCCAAAGGAGTGTGGGTGTCAATATTGACTGAAATATAAGGAAATAATAAAGGAGTGTGGTGCTTGTCTGTATCGTCGTGTCGTCGTGTCGTCGTGTCGTCGCAAATCTCTCAATCCCCCTTCCCTCCCTACCATCCTCTTATCCAAAGATGATCCTTTATTCTTCTGAAACCTTGGGTTTCAAATTTAACACTCGAGCGCTTCCGGCACTGATACGTCTGGCGTGTCCTGAGGAACGGTATTCGACACTGGTAGCTCTATGCACACCTGGTCCATCCTCATTGATCACCTGATCCAGTCCAAAGCTCTTTCGCTTGGAGTCTGCGATCGAGTCTGTACCAGTTATTGAAGAGACGGAATCTTCGTAATCGTTGAGTAACCCTTCTCGTGATTTGGCTCTTGTTTCGTGGTGTACAACGGTTGGTGTTCTTGCAACAGCCCCCCATTTGGTGTTTTCTGAAGGCACGGGACTGGCAATACTACCACCATCCTCCTCGTCGCTCGATGGCATGGGGTTTCCAGAAGATATTCTCTGAATCTTGTATTGCTCCTCTGGTCCAGGAGTTAAACGAGAAAAGTATTCATCTTCTGCAATACCCATTTCCTCGGCCGATTCGGAATATTCTTTGTACCGTTTTTGTAGACTGCTTGCGCTCTCGTGGAGATTATGATGCATCTGCATCTGTGAAGATCCTCTCTTGGAGCCACCTTTTCGGCCAGAAAGCCATGAGCCTTCCGAATCAATTGATGCAAGTGATTGCGAAAGTACAGCTGCTGGCTCGGGAGAGGGTGTCTTTAATGAACGGTGTCCACTGGTGGGAGTGGCGCCTTGTACACGCAGGTCATCTGGTGATCTTACCAATGCAGATCGTCTCTCAGGGTAATCTCTAATAGGTGGTACAACGTCCGCTTCAGGCGATTGTACTCTTGAATCGGGAGGAGATATTGGGAGCTCTGGAAGGTCCTCTCGGAATTTTGACCTGGTGCGTTTAGGAACATTAGATGGTCTCGGGGAGTATGCAGAGTGTGAAAATGAAACATTCTGCATCGAGTCCCGGGAGGTATTGGAGAAAGACGACGGTGCGGTTTCGCGCTTCGTCTTGGATCGTTTGAAGAACGAGGTCCATGATGATGGACCCCGAGAACGTCGGTTCAGGCTACTTTCAGAGCTTTGCCGGGAAGTGTCGGTTTTTGGTGGTGCCAAGTTTGTGGGTGGTGCTGGAGTTGCGGATGGCGTGTCAATATCCATTGACTGTGAGATATAAGAAGCATCTCGGCGGTGACTTTGCGGTGATAATGGGGGAGACATGTTAGCTTTCACAATGATCTCCGCACGCGCGACATCGTCTTGAGGCAAGTTTTTGGTAGCCAGATTCTCGCCGCGATGAAAGTTATCCGACGAACCCTGAACACTTGAATCCTCCCGGTAAGGTTCTGAAAGGCGCTTCGATCGACCGTTGTGTGAATCGGATGAAGATTTTCTCTTGGTTGAAGGTGAGACCACTGCTGAATTGCCAATACCCAAACCAACCACTTCTCTTCCCATTACTCCCCGCTCCATGTTGGCTGGTGGTAGACTCCCACTTCGTACTGCCGCTGCCTCTTCTGCTTCCTGTTTTGCTTGCTTCTTTGCAAGTTTTCGTTCCATCTTTGTTCTTTCGGCTATTTTCTTCTTCTCTCTTCTCTTATTATCGCGCTCCATAAGCTCTCGCAGCTCTCCAGCACTCAAATCGTCTGCAAGTTCGTCAATTCGCTTGTTGGCTGTTAATACCTCCTGATCCAGCGTCACACGATCCGATACCCTCCTTCTCCTCGAATCGGATCTATCAGAACCAAATCCACTAGCTCCTGGGGCATAGCGATGATTCTCGGAACACCTGATTGTTGGTCGGGGTGCCAGCATATCCAAAGCGGAGAGTTTGTACGATGTTTGGCGTCCCGAACCTGAAGATAGGGACGAATGCATAGATTCCGCCGTAGGGAGGGATATATCTGAAGAGGGGTTCTGTAAGTTTCGGTTCAATCCTTGACGCATTCTCTTGCTCTCTCTTTTCATCAGTCTTCCAGTCGAATTGAGCTCTGCTGCTGGTCGCGTGGGCATAAATGCCGCCATGGCCTTAATTTCTACTTCTCGATCATGTTCCTCCTTTCGTTTCTTGTGAGACTTCCTCTGTGCTAGCTCCTGTGCACTTCTCTTGTGTAATGTAGGCATCCTCTGCCACTCTTGTGATGCTTGTGGCGCTTGCGTACTCGATCGATGGGGTTTTGGGAGGGGCGTCGAAGAAAAGTCCCTTTCACTATTCGTCCTCGTTGGACGACCCTGAATATTTGAAGGGATCTGTGGGACTGGAGGCGGGATCGCATCCCTTGCAAGCTTTATCGAATCTTGTCTTCCGGGGGAGAATGAGTAGGTGCGCTTCTTTAATTTCTTTGATTCTCTTGAGGCCCTCCGCTTTTGATCTCTCCTGCTCAATCTTCTTTCCGGCACTGAGGAGGTGATTTCGGCTCCTTCATGCCTCACAGGGTTCGATAGTGTCCCTGCATTATGCATAGTGATCTCCCTCGAGGGCGGCGCCCCACCATGAGGTTGCTTCCGGCTGCTCCTCCGTCGTCGAAAGGGCCACATCCTCATCTTTGCCGATGGTGATGATGATTCAACGCGTGTACAACGGCGGGGCAAGTGTTGGTCGTCGTCAAGACGATTGCTTTGCGCGCCAAGGAGAATCTTCTATCGTGTTGGCGCGTGATGCATCGCCATTCGGTCGCCGGGTATGAGGTCGGATGGGAAAGATCCAAAACCGGTAGAGAGAAAAAAGTTCTCACGAGGAGTTCCTTGCCTGAAGTAATTGTGAATGGGATGGAGATGCCCGTTTGCGATTCAATTGCATGACTGGCAGGCCAGTAAGGTTAGTGGTCGTAGGTTGGAACGTGCGTGAAGGTGGGCGAGGACAAGCAATATGCGAAGAAAAGAGGGTGAATGCTAATTTATATTTTCCGAGTGGGTGCGTAGGCGCGTAGGTGAGGGAGGAGGAGTTCGGGATGGTGTAGAATGGGTGCGATGATGAGAGGGAGTGAAGGAGGGAGTTGATGGGAAGGAAGGGGAGGTAAGCTAGCTTGGTCTAGTGACGACGATGGATGTGGGAGTGGGAGTGGGAGTGGGAGTGGGCCGCTTCTGCTTTTGGGTGCAGGTGGTGGCAGTTGCGCTCGTACTGTAGGTACGGGGAGCAGGTGCTCGCTCGTTCGGTAGGTATGTTAGGGGAGGTAGCGTGGAATTTACGGGCTTGGGGCTTGGGGCTTGGGGCTTGGATGGGGATGCCCAAGAATGCATGCGGCAAGCTATGGCAGCAGGGTAGGGTGGGTACTGTCGTGCGCGGCGGCGTTCTCGCTCGTGTGGCGTACTCCGTATTGCAGCATAACGCAAAGCTTGTACCAGCACCAGCCTCGTACGCCAACCACGAAGGAAACTAAATAGACTAAAAGAGCCTTCTCACCTCTCCATTTAGGGCACTAATCCAGCGTCAACGGGCGTGACCCCTCCCCCGAAATTGGGTAGTTCTCATGTAGACTCTCCGACTCTGGGAGGACCCAGCACGTCAGATCAGAATGTGCAGGCTCAGGCAGGTGCCATACGGAGAATTCGCAGTGAGTGAGGGACGGAGGCGTGGCGCGCACAGGGATTTTCGATTTCCGCGCCGGTGGCCTCAGATCACCCAACTGCCTATGCTCACCACGCTTTCGAGTGTGGTCCTTGCAGATGCCTGCCCGTCCGTTGAGCAGCAGCGCACAGCCTCTGCGCCTATCAATCCCTATGGAAAGACGGGAAAAGAAACCATTCCAGCAATTCTGCTCCTCCAACTCCCCCCCTTACGCAAGAGACTATGGGGATGGGCACTACTGTACGGAGTACTGTAAGTCATCAAGGACAGCGATCGCCGTACGACCCCGACCAGACCCAAGTGCTGAATGATCAATGGCCAGCTCATCTATCCTTCGATTGATCTGCCGAATGAGAAGCAACGCCACCAGCAATGTTGCGCTTGCTCCGCCGCTAGCTCGCCACGACAGACTGGAGAGATGCACGAGTGCTGCAGAAAAAAAGGTACTTGGTACCTACAGAGTAACCCAAACTTCCCGAATTACAGTCCGACACGTAGAAGGCCTCTCTTCACGAGCCCGCCATTTTTTCATCACTTTTGACTTCAAGTACCCCAAGAGGGAGACAGGAAACAATGGGAACAGCCAGGGAGGATGTACTTCGAAGTACTTCTACTTCGAAGTACTTCTACTTCGTACTACTGGTACCGCATGTGGAAAAGTTTAAAACTTCCCCCCTTCTTTCGTCTGATCTTCTTATGGGGTGACGAAGATGTGATCAGTCTGCAGCAAAGTTTACGAAGCATGTGTTGCCAACGGTACCCCCACCGAGAAACGTCCAGCTCCTTGGGGAGAGTAGCGAAGCCCACTAGCCGCAGGAAAATAAACCCAATTCAGAAAGCCATGATACCAAACTAAGCGAGCCTGCTTTCAAAAGCAATCACTTCGCCCTCGAAACAGGCATGCATGCCCATGGTTCTTATCAATCCGGTACGCACCCCTCTTCGACTTCTTTCCAGAACGTGATGTGCTTTCTTCCAGAAAACAAGTTTCCTCCCTCCGCCTTGTCGATCTCTCCCAGGGAGGAGGAATGGCCGAGGCGTGACGGCGAACTGCTGCGCTCCGTAAGGGCTGGACTGGGAATAGTCTGAATAGATTCAACTCACTAGGATCGAAAAAGTCTCTTCAACACCCACTTCGGGAACTGGGGCCGCCGCCAAACCCAGCAACCAACTTTCTTCGGGGTGGGCCATCCATCCACTCCCTGGAGCGGAATCTGTGAACAATGTTTCAGATCTGCTTCCAAACTACCCTCAAATGGTTCCAGGGCGATTTCAGATAATTCTCCGATCAGAAATCAGCCTTGTCCGTTGATCCTGATATCAAGTTCGTCGCATAAGGGCCAGATATCAAGATAAGCAGCTTCCTTATGTTCCAAACATGTATCGAATCAAAGGCCTTGTTTGATGCCATCACCAACATCCAATCCGGGTGCTGCCGCGAGCGAGCCGAGCGGGACTTTCAAGGCTCTGTCGATCCCCAATATCCAGAAAACTAAGCTCGAATTACAGGTATGGATATCTCCCACGCTATTGGCTAGTCGCTATTCATGGTGATCCTCGAATTGATCGAGTAATTTAGCTTCTGAACTGCAATCTGCAAGGCTCTGCATGGTATACAAAGTCACCCACTCAGAGTTTGGTACGCAGTACTCGAATCTTACCAGTTGTGATACAGCATATACTTCAATGATGACCGCGTGAAATTGGCTTTGGAAATGACTTTGCCACACCTGACCTCCCTCCATGATTAGCTTACGAACGAAATTACACCCAGTTTACGGAGGAGTACCCTCGTTTCAGCAATTTAACCATGCACAGAACACACCCACGTTTACCAGCTGAATAAACCGAGACTTACTTCGATCTTTGCTTTTTATTAAATGGGATCATCTATCTGCTACCGGCAATCTACACCCTCGGTCGATAAAAATAGGTGCGCCATTGACCATTGCCCCGCATCGCGGCAGATGATTCATGCTACATATCGAATTGCCAGCCTTATGGGCCAAAGGGAGAGACAATTGCCTTGGCTTGGTTTCAATATCAATGATTTTACCTTATAAGAGGGGCTGACCCTCGCTTCGTTGCTGTTATTGCTTGGGCGTCGGGTCGTGGCATTTCGATATTGAATAGGCTGCGCAAATCGCACGAGAGTTTACGGCACTGAAAAGTCCTGAAGAATTATTTGAAATCAACGTTAAGAAACCCAGAGGGAATATTTTCTTTTTCTTTTTTCTTGCTTCTTCTAAAAGCTACTTGGAGTATCGTAGTCCTCGTAGCACCACTACGTGACGAACTACATTACTTCTGAGGGCCTCGCTCCTTCTAGAAACAAACAAGTAAGAACCCCGATCTTTACTCTATATGCACCTAAGCTCGCTGAGTTAACAAAAAGATATCATCCTAGTAACCTTATATAACTTAATCAAATACGAATAATTTAGAACAAGTAATACTATTCCCTCCTGATTTACCTAGGTAAATAGAATAATTAATTTACTTGTACTAGAGCTTTAGGATAATAACATTTAAGAGCGTGTATAGAGCTATAACTAGGGTCCTTATTATAGTCTTTATAGTATTACTAAGTAGCGAAGTATTAATTACTTCTAAGTTCTGTGCCTCTTACTTGTTATAGAAACTACTATAATAAGTAGCATATAGTACACTATAGGTATAAGTTTTTAGTATTTTATATATCTTAATAGATTTAGGATATTAAGTAAGCTCCTTAGATAGAAGCCTCTAATTTCCCTATAATTCTAGGATTGTTGTTTTTATTATTCTATATATCGGGGATACTATAAATTATTCTAGCTACTATATAGAGGTTTTAAAAAATAATTTACTACCTTTACTATCTCCTTCTTTCCTAAACCCTACCCCTCTAAAAATTTAAAATAAATAAACCTTTCTACTTCTTTATCCTTCTCTTATAATATATATTCTAGTAATATAAATATAAAAAATCTCATTCTACGTTAGTACTAATCAAGATCTAACATTTAGTATCACACTACTGTAGAAGGAATGACATATATACATGCATGTCTGCAACCCACGTAATGTATTTTTTTATTAACTAGATTACTAGGTATCCTATCCTATCCTATCCTATCCTGAGTCTGGAGTCAGTGTCAGCTAATCTATTCGGTAGTCCTCGAGTTCTTATTCCGGTGGGAAATATAGGAATTTCTAGGTAGGTTCGTATGGAGATTTTGTTCCCTTTTTTTTATGATGTGAGGAAGGAAGGGTTATGATTGTGGTGTGTTTTGTTTGTGGAGAGAGGGAGAGAGGGAGTGGGCGGTCGAAGGAATATATGGTGGTTGGGGGTTGAATGCTATTTTTGAGGGCTTTTTTTACTACGTGACGGGGAGGGGAAGGAGTTATTTTGAGAGAGAGAGATTGAGATTCTCTGTTCTAGGGGAGGTGGAGGGGTTTGGTTATGTGTTTGTGTTTATGTTCTTTAGGCAGTAGACTCGTAAGTTTTTACCTTCTTAGACTAAGTCACTAAGATGATTTGAATCGAGTGGGAACTTTCCAGTGAGATTCTTGTTGGGCTTGATACTGTAGAGGAAAAAGGAAAGGAAATACGTTACTGTGAAACTACGTAGCTAACAAACTCCCAGCTTTGCTAATAGCTAACCAGCAACGTAGTAAATCCGAACCTCGTCAAACATCGCACTTACTACTTCTCAAAGACTTGAAGGGAGGAACCCTATTCATGTAACGTAACGCATCGTGCGTACGTGCAGTATAAAACACATCCCTAATCCAACTTCATGAGGTCACGAAAGAATCCCATACCCACCTGAACATCTATGTTCGTTGGTGGCCCTTTTATCAGCCAAACTCATGCGAACGACTACAACATCGAGTCGTAATAGGATACCAAATAGCGGTTTCTAATATAAATACTCTACTGGTCCGTTCACTCCAGTTGTATACGGAAGAAAATCAGTTGAGTCAAGGGTATATATAATATCCCGAATGCGAGGAGGAAAAATTCATCAAGATGTCGGATTTCATGAAACACACAAACGGAAAGCACAAAAAGCATACGAAAGGCTTAGACGTGGGTTTATGGCGTGTTCTGGCTTATCACTCAACTGAAAATCATCCCTTGGGTTAAATTGACCTCGAAGCACCTGACGAGAATTGGAGTTTCCATGTCTATGTACAGAAGAGGGTTGTTCACTGTCGATTTATCTCTTGCTGTCGATTTCTAACTTCTTTATTGGATAGAGTATCTGCTCTCACGGAACTTGAAAGTGATGTCCATAATTCAAGGATTTTTCTTGGTCAGTCTTACTCCAGAGAAGCAGAGCTTTCCAGGGTGGATTCTCGAAGCAGAGTGGCGCGCCTTCTTCCCGTATGTATTGTTTGATTGAAGCATGTGGGGTTGGATTTCTTTGCAGGTTGCAGTTTGACGTGTTGAGGGTATTTAAGGGGGCTGTGGTGGTTAAGGCAAGGAAGTGGAGGAGGAGAGAGGGAAACGTCTTTTGGGGTGGGGAGTTGGGTAGTAGAACCTAAGAGAGTTGGAGGATAGGTAGTGACCACAAAGAACTTGATACTGTTTTGGGAATTTGGCTTCTAGGCGATGATCTGGAGGGGATGGAGGGAGGTATATATATTTTCTTCCTGAATCTTTTGTTAGGGCTGATGGAAGTTCATTCTTTGGTGTTAGGTAATTACGCTTTCCAAAATTGTAATATGTAAGTCTTTCTATGCCCTGATTGCTACCTAACAAATTGCTACGGTATATTCATTGAGACTTATTGTCTTCTTTTGTAATTTCTTTGTATAGCAAAAGCAAAGTCGAAGATATAAAACTCTCAATAACTGCCTCATTCTTCTATCTTACCATGTTATCTGTCTGGAATAGACTTCCACACTGTCAAAAGTGAGATCTTACACGCAAGATACTTATGGATGGATATTCAGTATCCAGAAAAGTACAGTCAACCTTCAGTTTGTATTTGTTAGTTGTGATAATACATGAAATTTCAGTTTCTTAGTTGGCGACAAATCTCAAAAACAACCTCAACAAGTTAACACCAATTGATCCCATTATTCCCAACTAATCAATGCTTCTAGCATATATATATTCTGGCGTCATTACCCAAATTCTGTACTCAGATGGCCAGTAGAAAGTAGAACAGAAACACCAATAGATCAGCCCTTTTTTCTAAGTTAGGTCGCTATTAAGACTACTCCTCTCCCATGCTAATCGGTGTATCGGGTATAGAAATAAAGAATTTAAAGGCTGTATTCATAGTGAGAACTAATACAGAACTACGTTCAAAGTGTTTGCCTCCGAGGATAGAGTATAACTAGACCTTTGCTTCTTTGAGTGAGACAAATTGCCTTATGTAATCTACCACTGCCAGCTGGGAATGTCGACAGAACTACTATATTAAAGGGTAGAGGGTTCACAATGCTTTGTATATACTCTTCAAGAAACCTAAGGTCAGACAGTTTCTCATAGACGTTGCGCCTGTGATAGAATCCACCTCCATTTGCAGTCCTGTGGTCTTTCAATCAGGCGTAACCCTACGTCCCTTCCAACACAACTTGAACAAGATCAGCCAGTCCATCCTAAATCCCGAAGTATGGAGACATGCGAATTTATCTTGCCGTCGTTTCTTAGTCTGCTGTCGAAAGTTCTTCCAAGATTCGATTATTGTTTTAGAAAACAGATAATTCTTTGCTGTTTCATGAGCACTGGGTAGAATTGAAGTGGCTCTGATGTGAATCTGTGATAACCGTAATAACTACCCAAGAAAGAACATCAGAGTTACCTCGCCATGGAAGGCACAGCTTGCAATTAGTAGGAATTGATGGATACCTATGCAGAGACAATGTTTGTTGCTATAAATACGAGACCCTGAGATGTTGGAATAGGGATTATGAAGGTTGTTGTAACCAGCTGGGTGTTGTATGTATTGCTAGGTAATCCATATTCAAACCATTTATGCCAAAATATCACCTCTCTTCTGTATTTCCACCGCTTCTTTTGTTGTCCATCCAGTGCGTTTCATAGATTTCCTGAATACGGGTTTCGATTACTAACAGTTCGTTCCCCTCTGGATGCTCGTATCGCTCTTACTTTCCGCTACCACTCCTCTCGCATGGTGTTCAATCTCTCAATTCCGAGACCACGGTTGTCTGGTTGGCATGTATGATTCCTGCTTGCAAAACTGTCTGGACCCCAACCTCTCAACCTTTGTACATACCCCTTGCGAGCAGAAATTAAAACTTTGATGAGTGTGATCTGTGTGCGAAAAGGTTGATGACCTAATAGCCAGAAGTATGAGACATGGGTGTTTTGCTGGAGTGCTGTCTTTTGCTCACTCCAAAGAAGGACTGCTGCCTGATATCACTACTGGCTTATGAGTCGGCCTTACCTTTTTGGTTGTATCTTTGATCTTTTCCCTGTCCTTGGTAGATAGTCAACTTCAAGTAGGTCGCATCTTAAATTAAATGAGTCCTGTAGAATCTTACAGTCAAGTTCTGGTTTAAGTAAATGTAATCTATGCGCCAGCAAGAAAATGATTTCAAATATCGTAGCCTCAAAGATGATGCGGCGAAACGGCCGCTACCCTGCGAGAAAAGCGGCCGTCTTCACAAGTTCTGATGCCATCTAGCCTTAATTTCTGATCGCAGTAGCTCTGAAAGCCCAGAGAAGAGTCAACCAGGCTTCATACAAAACCTTCAAATAATCCCCAATTTTGGAGTGTTGTTGGAGGTTCTAAGGGTGATATGGAGGAGTGAATCGACCACTTCAGAAGAGAGCCCGGTCCCCAAATGCGAGTCTTTGCGCGATAAAAACAAGCGCAAGAAACAGTGGCTGGCTGGGAAAGACATATCGTTGTAGTAGCAAGAGGCTGTAATTTTCAAGGCCATGTCAAAAAACCTAGTGAATTAGAAATATTTCATGATAGAGGACAATTGAGGACTAATGAGGCATGTGTACGTTGATTTTAGAGATGTGGTCATTGCTCTGTACACGTCTAGGTATAATGATATTATCTCGAGAGCCTTGTACAAGTACTAAATTAGGTCTACAGGATTCTATATGAGAAATTGCCTTTTGGATCGTTGTCGAGAACAGCCGTGAGCTTTGATAGCACCAAGGAAAAGCCAACACCCCACACTGCAAAGTTTTCACTGCAAAAACAGTCCAAAGCAACCAGAACTCCTTCTCAGAAACATTCGAACCTGTACCAATACGCACTCATTGAAGATAGATCAAGCAACAACCTCCACTCTCCTGTCAACTGTGCAATTAACAAGCACTCTTCTGCGCCGAAGCGGTACCCATCACCCAAAACCATCGCAGTGCCAAGTCCCCATCTCCAAACGCATCACTCCCACAAAATTTCTTCTTCACACTCCGCACCAGGCAGAACATGCAATGAGAAAAAGTAAATCGCCCGTCAGACGTCCATCGACACCCACCCCAACCCCACGTCCGAAGACAACAGGGAAAGGGCCAAGATCATCGCCACTCTCTATACAGCATCGCCGTCTTTGACAACAGCAACACCGCCGTCCTTGCGGACAGTGCGAGAGTAAAAAAGGCCTCACTCTTGGGCATCGAGGATCGGCTCATCGTCCGGGTTGGAGTCTGAGGCTCGTGAGAGAAACTCAGAAGAGGACGTTTACTATAGAAATGATTCTATGAAGTAAGATCGTCTGAACAAGAAAAAAAAAGAAGGGAAAGGGAGGAGAGGGCAGGGAGAATATATACTTGAGGTGTGGGTGGTCTGTGCACGCTAAGCGGGAAAAGTTTTTTTTGGCTCTGGGTTTGAGCATTTTCACGTGAGTCCATAAGTCTTCGGAGTCACGTGCTATGAACATGCAGTGGGTGAGTACCAGAGAGATAGCTTTTCGTTATTGCACCTTTCTAGAATACTCAAAATCATTGTTCCAGTTGTTCTACTAATAACTAAATAAGAACCCTTTATTCTAGATAAGCATGCAAACAGGTTACGGTTTGGAGCTTCAAATGTTTTGGACTTGCGTTGTAGTAAACTTCTACAAATCAGATACTCAGAACCCATGGTGCATACCTAAGTTGATACTTAATACGACTTGCGCAGAATTATGGTGTCTTGGCGATGTCCTTCTCTCCAACTGTTAAGCTTGAATACTTTTATCTTTTCACATGCACTCTACATTTCAAAGAAACTGCAAAAATGGAGGTACCTAGGTAGAAATCCTGGTTTTGTGTCTTGAAGTATTGGTGACACTCATCTCATCTTAGAAGAATGTTTTCTGAGTATGATCCAACCAGATAGCAAATATCTGTCAAATAGTTTCATTATTGGGAGATGATCAGGGTACCCATACTGAGTATTACTCTTCCGACCTACAGTTACCACTCCATAAAAAGTCAATGTTTAGGCCAGAACCCATCAGCGAATCAACGCGCTGCAAAACCCGGCGAGGGACCGAGACCGCGTTTCGTCACCATATTGAATTCACCAGAAACCGATACGACACCAACGAACCGGAACCAATTTCTAAGTGCAACAATGAAATGATTCAATGTGTCGATTTGAAATTCTAGGAACTCTCATCCTCCTCACCCACGACGTCCTCGACAAAGTCCGCGGGCAAAGAGATCCAATAAGTACCCCGCGGTAAACAACCATCCATCACCTCCATATCCGAAATTCCAGTCCTAACACGCATAGTAGAAGCAAAACACCAACGCCACAATGCTGCACGAGATCCTCCTCTCACTCTCCGGCCATCCGTCTCCACTCCTTACAGCCGACCACTCATCCCCCTCCTCGATTCTCTCCCCGCCTGAAAAAGAGCTCCTCAAATCGATAGCGCATCTCAGCGATCTGAATCATAAACTGTTGACGCATACCGCTGCCATTGCGTCGGGACATCCGAGTGTTATCTGCCAGGCTGTTGCGACGGGTATACGGGATGTTCATTTGAAGGCTTTCCAGAAGAAGGTCTTGGATGTTGAGGAGGGCATCTTGAAGAAAGATGCGGGGTCTGTGGGGGCGTGGAATATTGTTCCTTTGACCGGAATCGTTAGGGAGTTTGGGGGGTGGACGAGGAGTATGGAGTGGCTTTGGGAGGTGGTGGGGGTAATGAGGGGGAAGAAGGGGGAGAGATGTACGGGGAATAAGGTTGTGGATTGGTTGTGTGAGGCATTGAAGACGGGGTATGTGGACATTGAGGAGGCAGCATTGAGTCTGGTGAAGGTGGCAGAGATGGCTTGGTTGAGGCAGGTTAGTGGATGGATATTATACGGAAGGTTATCTGCTTACGGACGGGAGGACTTTTTCGTACAAACCGTGGATGGGGATTTGGAGGTATGTTTTGGTCATGATAATGTATGGAATTCTAGGGCTTATGTTCTACAGGAATACGAATTGAAATCAGGACTTCTTCCTGCTTTTGTTACTCCCTCAACTGCAGCTTCGTTACTGTTTATTGGGCGATCATTAAATCATATCAGAGTGAAAGGCATGTCGACTGCTACATCACCAGAGCTGGATCTCCTTTCTACACACCTGAAACAGCTTTCAACCCTTAAGTTTCCTATCGAAAGTGCGCATTTCTCAAGGGTTATTGCATCTATCAGACTTTCTCTATCACAAACGACTCTTCAGAAACTTTTACCAACAAGCAAAGTAATCGAAATATTATCATTGCTACGAGAATTCTTTTTACTTGGACGTGGAGAGTTTGCTTTAGCCTTGATTTCAGAAGCGGATGAGAAAATACGGTCACGATGGAGAAGGGCTGATAATATGGGCTACGATAAACGTGAGAGTTTAGGAAGTATAACAGTCAAAGAGGGTGAGGTCTCAGGAGTACTGGCAAGAACTTGGGCGGCGATGGGATTGTTGCAAGGAGATAAAGATGATCAGGATGAAGACGAAATACTAGAACTTGCGAGAGACATAGTTCAACTCAATATCAACAAGTCGAATATTTCAACACCATCCAAGAAAGCAATCAAACCTTCAGCACCAGGCAAGATCGCCGATACGCCATTCAAAACCTTACTCTTATCTGTCCCAGTCGACTTAACTATGCACATTCCATCACCACTTGATTTGTTCCTCTCTCCATCTGATTTACAAAGCTACTCGAGCATAAATGCCTACCTCCTCTCAATCCACCGAGCCCATCTTCGTTTGACGGATCTTTGGAAAATCTCCGCTCTCCGACGCGACCATCCCGCACCCCCAGGACCACCATACGGAAGCTCTAGAGTCGGCCGCCAAAAGGTTCTCATGATGCGTCGACGAGCAAAAGAGCGTTCCGAAGCCATGCGAAGCGTCTGGGCAACTAGCAGCGCAGCCGTCTTCTTCCTCGGAGAAACAGAAGCCTACCTCCAAGGCGAAGTCGTAGAACAAACCTGGAGCGGTTTCAAATCCTGGCTCACAGGAGAATCCGAATCATCCTCACATCCACCAAAACCAACCTCACACGAAGAGGCAGAGGAAGAAGACAGCGACGAAGACATCTGGCTCCAAGCCGCCACCCACGAACAAGAACAAGACCCCAAAACCCTAACCGGAATTCAACCCACCGCAGACCCCCAATCCCTCTCGGACGCGCACAAAAAATACCTCCTCGCCCTCTCCACCTCCCTCCTCCTCACCATCCCCTCCTTCACGGACCCTCTCTTCCACCTCCTCCAACAAATCGACCACCTCGTCGCGCTCATCCACCGCATCCACAACATCTGGCAATCCCTCGACCTGGAAGCCGACGAAGGCGTCGTCGACGCCTTTTCTGATTTCCACAAAGAGGAGAAGGATGTCCGCGCCCAGCTGCACGTCGTGGCGACCCGCGTCAAAGAGGGGATCCAAGGCATCACGGAGGGATTGCGGGATCTGGAGGGGGATAAGGAGGGCTGGGCGAGTGGGTATAGTGAGGTGGAGTTGGGGGAGACGGGGGGGTATCGGGTGAGGGAGGTGGGGAGGGTGGATCGGTTGTTGATGAAGTTGGATTTTGGGGGGTGGTTGAGGAAGGAGAGGGAGAGGGATGGAGGGGGGTTTGATGGGGAGGAGGATAGTGATTATTGAGGATTTTTTTCGTACTTTTTACTTTTTACTTTTTACTTTTTACTTTTTTCTCTTCTCTTTCTCTCTCTCTCTCTCTCTCTCTCTCTCTTTTTTTTATTGTGGATGTATGTATGGATATTGAGCGCAAAGTGCGACGGGAATGGGGAGCACAGATCAGATAGATACCCACCGCTCGTCTTACATTTTTTGGAGCTGGAGCGAGAGGCATATAAATCTTTTTTTGGCGTTGAGGTTAAGGTGAGGAGGGAGAGTTGGAGGTTGTCCTAGTTTTTCACAACATGGAAAATATCGAAAAATCAAATCCCACGAAGTGACGAAAGCAAAACATGTCTTATACATAACAGCAGTAATTCAAGATGCTACCCACCTTTAAAGGTTCAAATCTCCATTCTTTCGATAGAGGGTGGGTGATTTTGCCACTTGGATTCAAGGTGAGTAGGTTTGAGCTGATCTCTAGGACTTGCTTGTGGGACTTGTGGTAATACTGGTGCAGTGTGATGTGGCCCCTTTGGCTTGGGGGAAATGTAAGATTCAGGTGAACGATAGATCTACAATATTCAAGGCGTGGGGAAAGTGGGACAATTACTATCGCTATTTTCACCAATTCCTCGCCACTATATAGCTTTTCAACCAAACGACGTAAACAGAAGCGAGGTAAATAAAACAAAACAAAACAAAAATAATAACTAGCATCTATAACTCAAGTAGGTATATAGTTAATTTAAGTAAAGTAAATTAAAGACACCTAGGTACACCTACTCCATTCAACACAAACACAAGTATAGTACCTATTCAAAAATCAAAATCGCTACTCTACTATAACTAACTTAACTAACTAACCCTAACAAACTCTACTCTAACCCTAACCAGTTTAACACGTCAAGTACCTACCTACCTCCCTATAAAAAAGAACTTAATCACAGTACTATATATAGTAATTCTCTATAGAATAAGTCTAGTTATTCCAAATCCTCATCAAAAAAAGAAAAAGAAAAAGAATAAACGCCTAGGACTAGGATATCCTATCTCTCTTCTCACATCAAATGAAAAAAAAAGGAAAGAGTCTACAATAACTCATCTACTATACAATGACATACACACCTCCCCAACGTCCCCTTCCCCTCCCCTCCCCCCTCCCAAAATCCTCTTAAAATCCCCCCAAACCCCCATAAACCCCAAACTCTCATCATCTTATATCCCTAACCTCCCCCCAAAAACCATTCCCCAAGCCCTTCGAAAAATCAAAACCCAATCCATCTACCCCACTTAACCAAAGTAATCTACACCAATCCATCTTACTCAACCCAGAAAGAATAATATGGTGTAACAGGATTTCAACGGTATATCTATATATCCAGAGTTGCTTTCACCTAACTAACTACCTAGGTAGGCAATCTTAGGAAATCACTCACTTCTTCCAACAATCCCTCCCCTCCACACCCCAAAAACCTGCGCGAAGCGCATAAAGCCAAAAAAAACCCCCCAAGAACCAAAACAAGGCATATATCATTCACCATTCACCTGTGAGCAGAAAAAATATATATATATCACAAGTAGGAACTGGATCAAATTATCCGAAGGGAAAAAAAAGCTAATAAGGTTAGGTTACGAGACTGAAGTCATCCCCCGTTATATCCATGTCTTTGAGAAAGTAAAAAAGGAAAAGAAAATACATGTATGTCATCTTCAATTCCTCATCCTTTTAAAAGTACGATTCCCACCATCCCAAAATGCCACCTTCTCAACATAAATGGTAAAAGAAGAGGAGGAGAAGAAGAAGAAGAAGAATCATGATACGAATAGACACCGTCCTCCCATCAAAAATCCGTTGAAATTGCTGGAAGAAAAAAAAAACTCCATCCCGCCCTTAAGAAAAAAAACCCCGAAAAGAAACAGGAGTTGAGTTTCATTCATCTAACGCCAGAAGAAACTCCAAATGAAAACGTTCATCTTAGGACTGCTCATACTCAGCTGGTGCTGTGACTGGTATGTTAGGATTGTAATTTGAGACCTGTTGGTTCATCATAAACTCCATGTTGCCTTCGAAATCCACCGGGGGCCAATGCATTTTGAGATAATCGTCTATATCTCCAGGAGGTATCGCTTGATACTGTGGCTGATGTGGAGGGGCCATGTGAACCATGGCGTTTTGGGAAAGTGGAGCATAAGTAGTAGTACCATTAATAAGTTGATGAGGTAGAGATTGAGGATAGTATTGTGGTGTTTGGGTGCTTGGATGAGGTGAGCTGAGACTGGAGCTGGAATCTCCATTGATGAGACTAGGTGTACGGGCTTGATTTTGCGCTATTGGCTGAGGAAATACATTACTATATGGATATGCCGACGGTTGTGGGGGAAATCTTGCACGCTCCTCTGCACCGCAATCGGGACTTTGAGTATTAATGGCAGCCCAAGCAGTATGTGATCTGGGTGTCGAATCGGGGGTTGACATCACTTCTCCATTAGCCCCGACGCCAATGTCCGTCGTGCTTGCGCGGGATCGACCTTCCTCTTCTCTGAGATTTCCAATACCCCCAAATTCTTTCAAAGGTCTTTCAAAGGTCTTGTATTGATCGCCTCCACCACCACTGAAACCCGGAGTATTGAGGCTTTGCGAATCTTTGATAGCTTTGGCAAAGAATTTGTGAACCTTCACAAAAGTCGCCTGGTGCCTTTTCGCCATTTCTAGCCTTGGTACCATCGCATTGATTGCGGAAGACATAATTTCGGTAGAATCATAACCTTGCTCCAAGCCTACGATGCGCTTCGTGTCCATCTGTGGGAAACATTTGGCGTAGACGCAGACAAAGGCAGCCTGCCATATTGCAAATGCAATTTGAGGAGATTCTGGAAGCACATTATCGTCATGGCATATTCGAACAATATCGATCATGTCCTTGGCCGCTGTCAACATAATCTCTGCACTAGTTTCCCAAAAGCCTTCTGGTGTCTTGAACCTGTGTGGAGGAAAAGTTGGTTCGTCAATCGGGCCAGATGGGTTGTTTGATTTTAGAGGTATAAACGGTATAAACTCTCTGTGAAGCATAATCAAACATAAACAGTATAAGGTATGCATCAAAGTATAAGGAGTTGAGTTACGCTTTTCAATATGAGCACACAGATTTGCCTTTGTAAATGCAAGATTCGATGGTAATGCGCGGGCAAAGTCTTCCAGATCATTTCGGAGCCTGTAAAATGAAGTGGATGGGTCCCAAGGAGGAAGGGTTTCCGTTCTCCTGCCACCAGCATAACTCCACCTCGTAAAGCGACCAAAAATCTCAACCAAGCGAATATACCACCCCAGAATTCCATCGTCATTGACAGAAAGATTTGGTCTTTCCCAATCTGGTTGCAAATGGCCGGTGTCAACTTTCTTGATGAATAAAAATTGATCCTCTGAACAAGGGAGCTGGATGCGCATTTCGTTGATAGGTATCATTGGTATTCTCCTTTTCCCAGCTGACAACATTCTATCCATAATGAATAAGCTCCACCAAGTTCTACGCCGAACCTCCTTTTCGGTAAGAATCTGCTCAGGTGTTCGATTCCTTGGCTCTTTAATTGGCGGGTATGCGTGACAATTGGGTCCAGCGTCGTCTTCGTAATGAAGCTCCATCGATTGCGCCAATCTAAAGGGGATTGCCAGATGAACCCAGGCCGTGGTTCCTCCGTCTTTCAACTGACCCCACTCGTAGAGAGTCATCATCAACCAAGCTTGTATTACCTCGACTGACGCCCTGGTGCCGTTCCCATCTCGATGAAGAGCTGCATAGAGAGCGCTATAGTAAACTTCGCTTGCAACAATTGGGTCGCCGGTTGGAGAGTGGTGGTTTATGAGCTCCGTATGGAAACGGGCCGTGAGAGTCAAGACGCCCAGAAGGAGAAGTTTCACTTCTTCGGAGTTTGTATATGTTATGGACGGGTCTCTTGGATATGCAGCTTGACGCATACGATTTCTAAAGGTCGGGGGATGCAGGAATGGCATCTCGGTCAAGAAGTGAAGCTTGAATAGTTCAAACAACTCGTCCCAGACCTTTCTGGTCAGAATGGACGAGTCCAAAACATCCTCCACCGATCGATTGCTATTTCTCCGTCCGGTGTCCTCAAGTTTCCTTACCCGCTTTTTGCTCTCGCCGTCTTCCTGTTTGATACCTGGGGGGGCCTCACTTCGTTTGGGCGTCGTTGCCACACCTGGAGTTGGGTAGGAACATTCCCTGCCGCTCAAATGACAAGCTTTGCAGACTGAATTGGTTCCCTCATTGATACCTAGGAAGGGAGCAGGGTTAGCACAAGCATCAGGCGCATTCACTCCCATAGCATATACGTAGTGCCTATATATGCCATGGCCTAAGCGGATCGCAGCCGGTGAAGAATGCCACTTACATTTGACCTTGCTGCGCCGACACTTCGTACAGGCAATGCTTGACCTTACCATTTTGGCAGGCTTCTTCTCCTCCAAGCTGCCCCTTGCCCCCCCGTTTCCATCATCTGCTTCCCTTGCGGAAGGGCTCGGCGCACCTCGTGAAGCAATGCTGGCGCGAGGTTGGGATTGGGTAGGCGAAGCGGGGTGAAGATAGGGGAGTGGTTCAGGAGAGAAGGCTTCGGCGTGTGATCGTTTGGGAGTTGAGGCGCGAGAATTGGAACCGGTTGATTCTTCTTGGGGAGCAGAGGGCGAGAGGATCGCAGCGAGAGACTGCGGGGGAGGAATATTGGCGATTAGGGCCTCTCTGGACCCGGGGGAGGAGGGGTATGTGTAGTGTGTACGAGTATTCGCAGGGACTGTATGGGGGGGGGTATGGGGTATGGAAATGCGGCGACGAAATGTAGATTCTAGACTCCGGTCTGGATGCTGAAGCGGAAGCAAGAACAAGGCCCAGATTGGCGGGTTGCAGGAGCAGAAGCAGAAAAAAATTCCTTCTGAGATGGTCGGCAACGCTACCAGGCCCTGAAGATCGAGCGCGACGTTGAGGTCTCTGTCGCACTGCGCCAACCCATGGGCTTGTAGACTTGGATGGGTGGTGGTGAGTGGTGGGTGATGAGTGGTGGATGTGGATGTGGCAGAAGTCTAGTGGTCTAGGTAGTGTGTAGTTCTAGTGGAGGGATTGAGGTGCGAGCAGCGCAGTGCAGTGCAGGAGGCAGTGAGGCAGTATTAGTGGTAGTGAGAGCGAGGATCTAGCTGGAGGAGAGACAGGAATCCCTTTGGGGTAAATATTTGGTTTTGGGAGCAATGCAATGTCAATGGCAATGGCAATAATGGCAGGCGCAGGCGCAGGCAGAGGCAGGCACGACGGACTAGGTTGGGGGAGCGGGAGTGGGAGAGTGACTAGTGGGTGGTGGGTGGTCTTGTTCTGTTCGTCCCGTTGGCTGTGGTTCTGCTTCGTAGCGGGCCCTACAAGTACTCGAGTACTGGCTGGGTATTCCTCTTGGGTATCCTATTGGGTGTCCTACTGGGTATCCACGGTATCCAACTGGGTGTCCTACTGGCTATCCAACTAGGTACTTTTCCTGGGTATCCTACTGGCTACTTTCCTGGGGACTCCTACTCGCGGATTGTATGGGGACTGTCCAGCTGCTCACTGCTCACCAACTGGTAACCTACAGACGGGAGAGTCGAGAGTCGAGAATGGAGCACTTGGTAAAGGTACGGGTACTTGTATACTCACAGGTCATGCTCATACTCGTACAAGTACAACAACAACAACATTGGGCACCAGCACCAGCACCAGCACCAGCACTAGCATCACCATCCGCATCCGCACCAAAACCAGCTGGCACTGACACCGGTACTGCCACTGGCACATCGCGAGAAACACAGCGCAAAGAGCATGCAATGACCCAAGCCAGAGAGCTTGAGCTTCTGCTTCGGATCCAGTTGCCCGCTCCTCTCTCCCACGGTCCACCACCAGCTACTCAAGCTCAAGGCCATGTTTCCAAAATGCCACTACAACACCAAAGCGGAGGGAACAACCAATCGGAACCCTTTCGGACAGGTACGGAATAACGAATGGGGTCATTTGAGACCCTTTCCCCTGGTCCTTCCCCCCATTCTGAGCATCGCTCGGCATGACTCGGTTGGCATCGCGAACCCTCAACGCAATCTGGAGACACTCTAGCCACTTGGCGTGTGGAGAGACCTTGAGAAACGTGCAGATAACATATCGCATCTCCCACAAACCAAAGCGTTGTGTTGTAACCACGGCCAAACCAATCCCTCATGAATTATTGGTTACCCAGATCTTGGAAGGTGAAAGCAGAGCAATGCAGCAACCTACATGGCTTACCACGATATTCCAATCATAATGCTCCACTCAAGTACAGTGGCGTTAGTGAACGCCATCGGATATCACCCGGCGTGAGAAGGCAAGCCAGTGAGAGGAGCAGAAGAAAAACGATTGCCTGGTCCCGTCTTGCCCAGCTGTCAAGAACTGGATATCAAAAAGAGGTCGAGGTGGCTCGAGTACCACTCTCACTCCAGCACGAGGATAATGTCTCCCCCCTCAGCTCACAACCCGTGGAACAACAGCCCTTATCACGCATCATGACCAGTCAGTCCATCTCCCAATTTTGCCCGATGATTGTGATTCTTCAAGAAAAGAAAGAAGAAAAAAAAAGCCTCGCGCGGCAGACTTCCGATACCCGGCTCTCAGATCTCCGGAAACGGTAGGCTGCACACGATCATCTTTTATTTTCTTTTTCGATTGTCGCATTGTTCCAAGAAGCGAAGATGTTCCAACATGGAATTTCTCCGAAATACAATAGCAATTGTAAATCCGATCAGTGTTACATCGCGGGGTAACGGTACCCACTTTCTTCAAGCTTCTCGTAAGTATGGGCATTTCGAGCAGCCAAGTTGCTTTTCGTATCCTTTCTTCTACATGGACACCGTTGTACTCGAGTATCCTGGACTAGGTAGTCAAGTATCGCGCCATCTCAATTGTAAGTGGTTGTTTTTCCGCGTGAATCATCAATGCGAATGATGGACTCGGTGTGGCCTCCAGGTTGTGGCTGATCTGGAATTCGAGATCTTTAGCTACGAGCTTCCTTGTCTGAACTGTCCCCCTTTTCGCATTTTCTGCAGGCGTGGCTGATTTTGGGCATTGTTGAGAAATCATTAGGCGGGCAGGCACTCGTCTCTTATCAAAAGCCTTCTCGCTAATTTGGAGGGAAAGGGTGGGCTCGGATTGGCTCGACCTGGAGAGTTGAAGAATACGATTATGATAGGTATGAAGGATTTTTTTTCTGGCGGAAAAAATGGACATGGTTTGCTTGTTTATATTTCCTTTTTCTAATTTCGAAATTTCAGGGAGTTCATGATTATGAGGCGCTTTTTGAAATTCAACATGTCGGACTCACGCTTTCTTGTGGATTGCGTTGGGTAGGTTCCTAGCAGATCATGAAAAGTACACTTTTGCGTGGTGTTGAAAGTGGGTGGGTATTATTGCTATGTCTCGAGTACCTCAAAAAGCAACCTTGGAATTTTCCCCGGAAGACTACTCGCGTGACTGCGATCATTTCGTCACTCTATGCGAACGAGTTGGAATGATCATTATGTTTGATACATCATACATAATAGAGTCTTATTGATCCCGTGATTTGCAACACCTTAGCGGTTTTGTGTGGGATTTCTAGTTAGTAGGGTAGATTCTTAGGTCTAAGTAGTAGATCTCACTTTCTTAAATGCTCGATGTGGTTTGTTTGTTAATATCTTGCGTCCAAAATGCATTTGATGCAAGACGCCCAGAAATTGTGGATCTTCTGCTATATTGTAACCAACCTTCCCCATGAATCACTGATCGCATACGTTGAACGGTTTAAGTCCCTGTATGCTTTTGATATTATAAAGGAGGCTGGTAAAGCATGGCATATACGTGTGACGATGTGGTTAGATAGTTGGCTAGCTATTGTTGATTTGAGTTTGGTTTTGGAGTGTGGAAATGGACGGAGGGATTGAGATATGGTAGGTTGGTTAGGAGATGTGAAACAAACTCTGAAAGGGATATCTTTTTGTTTTTGTTGTTCTTGGGGGTGTAATTAGTTATGGTAGGCTGGCTGGAAATCAGATGGTGGTGGGATGTGTGCTATGGTGACCCCAGATTTGCCGGTTTAACTAATTAGACTATTACATTCGCCGTATAATAGATTTACGGAATACCATTAAGTTATAGGTATTATAAATATGATAATCTATTTTATAATAAGCTTTTATTATAGCTAGCTTATTACAATGTAAAACAAGTAGGGTAGTAGGTGTAGAATAAGGAATAGAATATAGTAAGTAAATACTATAATGTATATATAAATCTATATAAGAGTATATATCCCCTAACCCTAGTAAGAGAGATAAGAGTACTACTATAGTAAAAACAACGACGAAAAACTACTAAAAAGACAAGTAATAATACTAAAAAAAAAGGGACAAGGCGGAGTAAGAATTAGTACTAGACGTAAACTAAAGACGACATAATTATATCTAGGAATAGCTTTACTTTTTACTTATTTATTACGTAGAGATTATACTTTAATTACTTCTTTTTTTAGGTTACTTTATTTACTTTCTTAGGTAAGGGATATACTTTAATTAAAAACCAACTTTATTTATTAATAAAAGTAATAAATAATTCGTATCCTAGAAGTGATTAAATAATACTGTCTAATCTACTATATATACTAATTGACAAATTACTAGTAGTGTTGATTAATTCGTTGATTTAAGGGTTATAATAGCACAGATGTGGATGGGAGGATGGTGGTGATGGGTTGTGAGATTTGTTTTACACCATGGGCGTCTGGAAGGAATAATTACTAATACTCGTACGGTATATCTAAAGTCCCTCCCTCTGAACTAGGTAGCTCTAAGGATAAAAGTGAGGATGGTTTACGTGAAGTCTTTACAATGTTACTGTTGACTGACAACTCCTGAATGAATTACAGATCAGAGATGTGCAGAAAGAATACGCTGATTTACAATAAAAGAGACCAGCAAAACCCACTTCTCCGTATCTGACTCAGTGACTGAGCAGTTATATTTACAGAATCCACTTCCAATTTCCATTAGTTACCTAGACCTCTACTTCCCTATTGAGTCACGTGATTACCTATCTAATGGCTAACGATTAACAAAGAAAATGGCAGTTACTTATTTCCTTATTATTCTGGTTACTAAAGCATTGGACGTGAGTATTCTGAACCTTCTAAATCAAAGGATCTCTCTATTCTTGTGGGGTTTCTGGATAACAGTTTTGATCACTGAAGTATTCAAGCTGGTGCGAGTAATTAGGAACTTGGGATTAAATTACGCGAAAAGGGAGAATTACTGCTTTTTTGATAACTGTGAGATTGGCAAGATTATACTAAAGCCTTTGTTTTTAACTTCTTCGCCTACTTGAACAGGTCAGGTTATTGAAGATGTGGTACCTCTAGACTTTTTATGTTCCGTCGTGGTATACTTCTTTTTCTTTCTCTTCATTTGCGGAGGGAAATAGAAGAGTTCTATGAAAAACCCCTGGTTTACGAGCAGTTTTGTAATAAGCGAAGCACACCAGCGCTTCATTTCCCTAGATGTCATATGTAAGGAGCCTTCAGAGGATGCGGAGAAAACTGAAGGTTGTACGATAAGAGGGAATTCCTTAGGTGATATGTGCTATTGTAACCCTTAAATCAACGAATTGATTAACACTACTAGTGATTCGTTAATTGGTGTATATAGTAGATTAGACGGTATTATTTAATCACTTCTAGGATACGAATTATTCGTTACTTTTATTAATAAATAAAGTTGGTTTTTAATTAAAGCACACCCCTTGCCTAAGAAGTAAATAAAGTAACCTAAAAAAAGAAGTAATTAAAGTATAATCTCTACGTAATAAACAAGTAAAAAGTAAAGCTATTCCTAGATACGATTATTTCTCCTTTAGTTTACGCCCGGCACTAATTCTCGCTCTACCTTATCCCTTTTGCTACCTATCTTTTTTAGCGGTTTTTCGTCGTCGTTTTTACTGTAGTAGTACTCTTGTCTCTCTCGCTAGGGTCAGGGGACATATACTCTTATATAGATTTGTATATATTATAGTATTTACTTACTATATTCTATTCCTTATTCTGTACCTACTACCCTACTCGTTTTATACTATAACAAGCTATAACAAAAGCTTATTATAGAATAGATTACCATACTTGTAACACCTGTAATAGTATTCCGCAAATCTATTATACGGCGAATACAATAGTCTAATTAGTTAAACCGGCAAATCTGGGGTCACCATAGCACAGATAGTTAGGTGAAGGAAAGTATAAAATCCAAACTTGATTGTTGACTCTTGTTTTGCATTCTCTATGTTATCAGTAGGTCTGACGTGTGGTTTCCACCGCATGGAACAGGACTGAATGGATCCATTTGGTAGGGTCCCAGAAAGTTCCAACATAGGAGGAGCTTGTGCTAGGCTATAAAATTCTAGCCCCTGCCCAAAGTAGTTAGTCATCCTGACACTCTCAGTATCCTACATACACATATCATTCCACACTGTTTTGCTTTTTTTATTATTTTCTCTGGGTGTCCGCTCTCTCTATGTAATTTTTAATCTCTGGAGATTTGCGAGGAACACGTTGAAAGTCAACACGTGACTGGTTTTGACATGTACAGTACTTGTACCTCCAGGGCTATATCTGATTGTAGGGCTACGCCGACTCTCATTATCTTTCTGCCTAATTGTTCCCACCAACATCTAAGCCATGACACCAACGCGCAAATCTTGCATCACATAAAAATCGTTGTGCAGTCTGATCTATCATTTCAACCTTAGATATCAAAATGGGATCATCGGAATCCAAGAATTCGAGGGATAAAAAAACTCTCAAGAAGCCCTGCCCAAAAGTCAGACCTGTGTCTACGAGTAGGGGCCTGAAATAATTTTAGACGGTCATGGGCAACCATTTATCGACGATGGTTTTGGGCAACCGAAGAAAGATGTGAATTGGGCCCTGAAGATCTATCAAAGCATGACGTACTGATAGACTATGCATAGTCTAAAGCAAGAGACGACAGCCATTCATTTCTATGAGAGGCCAGACCTCGAATAGCTCAAAGGTGTGGTTTCGAATATTCAATTAAGAAGTGCGTGAAGACTACATGCATGCGAGCTCTTCCTCTATATATAGAGAGAAATAGCTTCCTGAATATTTCAAGAAACTTGCAAGAAACTTGAATGACGAATACATGATGTCAGAAGAACAAAACAAGAAAGTGTGGAAAAGTAGAAACCTGTTTGGCAGTGGGGTAATGGCCAGTGCTAAGCAGGGACTTTGGTCAGTGCTTAACGAGGACTTTGGTCAGTGCTTAGCGAGGGCATGGCCCGAGCCTCCATCATGGGTTCCAACCCTCACAATTTCCGCTAGATGGAATTGAGCTATCCTCTGTGTCAGACGAACAACTCGCTCAATATTTCACAACCGCACCAAAACTACATGAATATGATGCCGTTGACGTCGTTCGGCTCTCCAAAATACTTGCCATGAAAGGCGGAAGAGGCGTTAATCCATGCGAGTCACACAATATGATCTTCGCTGCAAAATCGCTCCTTCTCCCAGTTCCTGGAGTTCATCGTACTTTCATGAGTGATATTCCTGGTGATTCTCCTGGCGAGATTGTGGAAGGCCACTTTATTGTTATGGATTATATATCAGGACCAACAGTCGATGAGTGTTGGGATACTATGGACCAAACCCAGCGAAAGTCCGTAGCTCGCCAAGTTGCTTCTATGTTGGAAAAGATGCAAACGACGTCCCTTCAACTACCTCCTGGACCTATCTGGAGAACGAATAATCAGAAGTTTGAAGGATTTTGGTTCACGGATTATGGTGCCGGTCCTTTTGGAACGCTGAAGGATCTCGAAGACTGGTGCAATCATAAAATCGATGTCTGCATAAAGTTCAAACAGCTGCCTGATGATTCTGAGAGGTTTGTCTTTCGGGACTTGGTGCTTACACATCAAGATATTGCACCACGGAATTTTATCATTGATAAAGATGGGAAGGTTTGGATGATCGATTGGGGTCTAGCGGGAGTGTATCCACCGGGGGTTGAGCAGGCTGTTCTTGAGGTCTACGCTTATTCCTCCGAAGGTTTCCAGGAGATGGTTTTCGCCGAGTTGACTTTGTAGAGTCGGCAAGAAAAGGTGATTGGACAATTTAAAGCCATTGGATATGGTCTTTCAGTAGCGGCGCATCATTGATGGATATTGCATCCCTTCATACAGTAATATATTTCAAAGTGTCTAACACAGGCCTTATATGGGTATGGGTAAGCAGTGATTGCAACGATCAGTGTGAAACTTGCAGAGATGCTTATCCCGCCACCATAAATTGAGTATCCTCGCTACCGCCTCTCCATCACTACTCGAGTACGTGCATCCTAATATCTACCTAAGGTGGCGTTTAGGGACACAGTAGAAAAATTAGTTAGAGACACCGCTAGGTTTTGGATCCAGCAATTTTTGTTATGATGAGAATGTCTTCTCTTGGTAGAACATAAAAGAAGAGTGGAAGCTCAAATGATCAAATATGTTTAGATTTTGTAGTTTCCGTAGTGTGAGCGACCACCTTAAAAAACACTTCTTCAATACAATAATGTACAACAATAAATACGTAATAATACTATTACCTTACAGTAATAGATACAAAGTGAATTAAACATCCTATTGTGTTGTTATAGATACAATCAGTCACCTTGAGTCTGTGTTGTTTTGTAATTGGGCTGTAAGCACCATGGCTAAGCGAGGCCTCGCTTGGGTACTGTATTTTTGTTAATGAACGCTGGAACCATCAGCACTGAAACCACATGCCTTACTACTTGCTGTTTGATTCTGCAACGGCATTACATGACATTTCTCCCAACAACTTCGTGGCTTCAGACACCAGAATAAGTATTCATGTACAGTGGGAAGTTATCCCATCCACCATCCATCCACTGTCGGCTGTCCAAAGGATTGACGCCCCCCTCACATGGTCAGGCTTCAAGTGGATAAATACAGGTCGAAATTACTCTTTCGAAATCTATTCTGCAACAGGCTGCGCAGCCCCATATACTCTTTCTTTATTGGCCTAGTGGACTATTGAAAGAGCAGGATGAAATCAATTCCATTGAGTCTGGAAAGGATAAACATAAAAGTCTGGCTGTTGTGAAATCATTCAGCCTGAATCATTTTCCTTCAAGATCTAACTATTTCATCAAAAGCTTTGCAGTACATGGATTTGTCTAGCAGCTCAAAGCAGACGAGTATATGTTCTATCTTGAGTGCGTGTCTTTGAAATACAACCTCCAAAAGTGAAAGGATATAGAATTCTATTTCTTATTAGCTCAGTTTCTTTTGTTTCCTACCTGTAATCGAGACATGTAATCTGGATTTATTTTCTTTCATAGAATGGCTTGAATCATTGTCGCGATCGGCGTTCTACTCGAGGTCAATTGCTTTCAACATATTCTTGCCTTATATTAATTTAAGATATTATAAGCTCTTAATTATAAGAGCTTGCTATCTTGTAAGAGTAAGATACCTAGTCGTTGCTCTATATACACCTCTCTTAGAATAAAATTATTCCAAAAACATTGCACAACTAAAATAGTTATACAAAGAGCTTGAATAATTATTAACTCTTACTTTTTACTAGCCTCGGTATCCTAAGACAATTATCTTGCTTGTAATACAAATTTAGTATAATAGAGTTTTATATAGTGTGTACAGAGTAACGAACAGGTATCTTACATGTTCTATCTTGAGTGCGTGTTTTTGAAATGCAACCTTCAATATCGAATGGATATATTATGCTATTTCTTAATAGCTCATTCTTTTGTTTGCTACCTATATTTGAGATTTAAATTCTGGCTTTCGTTTCTTTCATATAAGGGCTTCAACATTGCCGCGATCTGCATTCTACTCGAGGTTGATTGCTTTCAACATATTCTTACCTTATATTAAACTTTCTATAATAAGAGCTTGCTATCTTTTACGAGTACCTTTTGTGCTCTATTCACTACACCAAAGTCAGCTAGTAGCTGTCAGACGAGCGAGTACTTAGAGAATCACTATGGAGCTCAAGGGCTTATTCTGAGGAGGTGCACTAGTCCACCTCATGCGTTCTTTGGTTCACAATAACCAATTCACCAGACCAAGAATATTCGATCGTTCAGCATCGGAAGCATCAGTCCTAGAAGAAGATTGCAATCATCCGGAATCCGGATTTGAATACAATGTGGTATCGAGTTGTGACTTGTAAAACCTTCCAAGTGTAAGGTCAGAGAGAATAGTTGAGAGAATTGAGGGTGTTTATTGAAAATGAATTGGTCTAAGTAGGAAAGCGTAGTATATGGGGTCTTCTTACATGTTCCACCACGGTTCTATTGATTATCAGTTCTTCCTACTATAATGTCTATTATTCGACAAATATGATTTGGATTTCACAAAAGATTGAAATGAGCATTTCAGAACATGGTCAGATAAAGTTGACTGCTATTTTATATGATCTAGGATGCTGTGGAGCGGGTTCGTCACTCTGGGGGTTTGAAAAATTATCTATCATTTGAAGCTTGTGGGGTTTCAAAATACCGTGGCAAAGGAATTATTTTATGATGTTGACAACTGAGAGACAGACGGAAGAATATTAGATTTATATTCTTAAGCCTCGCCAAAAGTTGATAGCCCAAGAAAAAACTTGGGCATAACGTCAATAGAACCCATGTTTGGGATTCATCAATACTAGGCTGTGACAGTTACTGCTCTAGGCTACGGAGCTTCGAAATCTCACAGTTTCACTGCTCTTTTGTAAGAACACGCTGACTTCCAGCCCAAGTCTATTCATTCCGTCACGTGGGGTTTCCCAAAAAGGAAACTCTAGTGCTAGCGCGAATCCTGCTCCTTTTACATTCAAATACTGATGCCTTAACTCCCATAAGGTCATTTCCTAACTGACCTCATCGGAAACACTTTACAACCCCTCCATCTAGCTTACCAAAAGATGGCTCCGGGGGCTCTCATAACTACCTACTACCACACCTACACAACCGCCTCTGGAAATATTCGTCACGACGTCTGCGTAACCACTGGAGATGGACACATAGTTGTTCATCCTGGTCCACAAGCCATGTTCCCGAGAGTCCGCCGCATTCCCAAGGTAAAACCCATCTCCAATACCTCCTAACTTATTAACAAACCCCGCAAAGAGATTCAGAGAGCTTGATCATGCAGATATGCTCCTCATTCTGCTCCGTCGCCGCCGCAATCGTCATGCGTTTTCCTGGGAGAAATGTAATGCCATTCATACCGCCAGTTTCGGTGGTGTCGGATCAAGTACGTTGAAAACCCGATATGCCAGACTCAAGTACAACCTCTGCAAGCGGTGGCATGTCTTGGACGTAAGTTACCACCGGCTTGGGTTCGGTTGTTATTGAACAATATCCGAGTAAAGACGATGGCTGACATATATCTGAAAGGGTGCGCTTCTCAAACGCTCTGTACAACGATATCGACTTCCGTGGGGAGCTATTGACTGGCAAACTGTTCAACGCGTTATACATCAGGATAGTCTGATTGGGGAATGGACTATCCCAGAGATGATGGTCCAACACTCTTATATAGAGGACATAGACCGCCTTGGTCTTCCTTACTAGATCATTACTTGGTGGGGACCGGCACACATGTGAGTACAGAATGGCACTGAAAGACGTGCTAGTTTGTCTGGAGAGTAGAGTGTTGGTGGGCTTCATTAGGCAATGAGACTCACCCAATACATGTGGATGTTAGAGGCGCAAATTTGTGGACACTTTGAAATGGATTTGGAAACTTCGGGTACTGCTTTCTTGATCCTTTGATATTGTGGGAGAATAAACAACTTTGCCCTCGACCTTTTTCGAGTTTTTGATGTGATACTGTTCTGATCTTTTCGTGAACTACTAAGGAACCCCTTCCTTCAAGATACAACATACGAGGTCCTTATACGAGTACAGATATTGGCAGCATTCTTGATTGGATATCGGGTGTTACGAAATTTTGTGGGGGCGTGGGGAGAAGAGTGAAGGGGCATAGTTCACATCAACTACTTTGTTAAGCGAGGATTGTTTTGTTTGTGCACGTGATATACTCCACAACAATACGCCAAAACCCCAGGGCAAGACATCAAAAGAACAAAAAAGGTCGCCTTCAGGGTATTCTATTTAGTTGGCTGACAGAAGGTTTTGCACAAGGAGTAATGAGCAAACAGTCGGCCTTGTCCTGTGAAGAAAAAAAAAATGGCTGCTGGTCTTCATCGTTCTTACTGATTTTTGAAAGAACTGCAGTTCTGATAAGATTTACGAGAGTTATGCCGAAGTGGACTAGGCGGACACTTTTAAAATATTGATGGAAAATGTCCATAGAATGATATGGGCCACCATTGAATTTTGCCAGCCCAAGGGGCTTTGGTGCGTGGATTTGCGGGTGAGTGCTTTGCCAGATATTGAAGGGATATGTGTTCTGTGGAACCATCGTACCTATGTACTGTAAAATATTTGCAGCGAACCGTTCATATTCCGCGGTAATCACTCCTCTAATGTGGTAATCACTCCTCTAATCGGAAGTCTTCATAGTCTTCCACAGGTCAAAGGATCTTTTGATGAAATTTTGCACCTACAATCCCGACACCAAGGCATGATTCAGGTTCCATCAATTCAAAGAGAAAGACCAGTGCCTAGTCTAATAGAGGACGAGTAACTCCAGTGCTTCGCGCAAGAGTGACCAGATTCTTGCAGAAATGTATGTATGGGTGCTCAGTATGGTTGGGATTCGTTTTTGCAAGCTGATGAAGAGATATGACTAGGCCTACCACCACTTATAGATGGGGCTTTTGAAGATCTGGGAGAGTTTCAGGGTTACGACTAGACTTCTGTGTTTTCGGCAAGGGTTGACTGCTGACGAAGTTAAACTCGAACCTTTTTCAAGCTAACGTCTGTAGGATTTATTTAGCCGGGGACTGCCGGTCTGGTATGTTGTAAAAATTGACTCCTCCCTACTTATAAGAATTTTATTTTGGCCTGTACAGTAAATCACACTACTGTCCTTTTATAGGCGTAGATGATTCAGAAATGAGATCGGGGGCTGATCTAGACTGGCAAGGTATTATTCAACATGATAATTATGTGTTGTCATTCCCATTTTGGTTACGCCACATCCACTGAACTTGCTGGTGGTCCAGCCTATCAGGAATGTAAATACTGAAGACTAATACCAGGATTTTAAATGTATGCCTATCAATCCCCAAAGTACAATGCTCGTTCGCTTGAGATAAATAGAAATAATCCAGACCACCACTCAAGATAGCAACAATTACTGAGCAAGATCAATCAAGAAAAAATAAGAATGAGAAGCCAAGAATATTTGTCATTCTCATAAGGTCTTTCTTGTTGATCTGATTCCTTCAAATTATTTCGAATAATTTAATTTTGAGTCTAGAACTCTCACCTCAGAACTCCAATTACGAAATTTCTGCATCGACTCATGAGCCAGAACGGATTCCATAAGAACAACTTTGTACACATAATTATACCGAGAGATTCTAAATCGGGTTGTTGGGTGCAGGTTCTCAGAGTTACAATGCCCCTCAATTTACCAAAGAAGTCGGTGAGGGGTATGAGGGGTTCGTCCCACCTCATTCACCGCCTATAAAAATAGTTGTTGCCCGAGGCCTAAGGTTGTTTCTACCTTCCTATGTCGGAAAGTAAGCAGCTATTCTTAGCGCGGTTAGAATAAGGTTATTATATTGAGGTGCAGATGGGTGTTGCTCAGTCGGATCGGATGCGGGAACATAGAGTGTACCGGTCATACGACCTCTCATTGTTGAAAAACAAAACTTGGGATGAGATCATCTATTTCCATTTTTCGATGTCGCCAAACCCTCGGGAGAAGTTGCCACAAGCTCAGGATTGACTTTCACCAAGGGTCGCCACAGTGTGGCTGTGATTTTGCGTACGTCACTGGGATTGGTTGCAGAGCTTGGCCCAAGACCAAACGAGTGGATGGCAGCTTCTTGTCGCAGATGTGAGGTGGATGTTGGTGTTGGGGAATGGATCAGGAATAACCGCGCAGATGCTTGACGAGCTATTCTTGACTTACTGGTAAGGTTTGCGAAACAAGCTGTTCTCTTTCATAAATCCTCTTCCTCTCTTCCTCTCTTCCTCCCTCTCAAGTCATACTCATACTCCAGTCACATCGCACAATCGCTTCTCTTATTGTGGCCCCTATTCCTCATCTGCCCCGCCCCCACCACCACTCTCTTTCCTATAACATCTCTCACACACGAAATCGCCATGGCTTCAGGACATCATGTGGGTATTCTCCATCCAAAACTCAATCCACTGCCACTAATAAACTGACAGGACCCCAAGTTGCTGTATGCCATCAATGGCATTAATGCCTACCACATTGAAAATGGCCGAGAAGAGTCCCTCACACCAGCAGGCTCCCAAACCCTGTCCCTCTTGATGGTGCCAACAACCTCCCCTTTCTCCAGCGTCCCCTCCGCAGATCCCCAATCTCAGTCGCCCGAAGAAGATTTCTATCTACATCTGCATCTGCCACCTGCATTGGACCTGCCACTACCAGCAACAACACAAATATACCATCAGCCACCAAGTAGCTACCTCATACCACGATGGGATATGGGTCCAGAAAGCGGCGCATTTACAAGGATAGAGTTTCCTCCTTTGGGAAATGGAGGTTCCCAGGAGGATGTCGATACCTTTGAGACTATTCTAGCACAATGTACCGCATTTCTGGAGAGGGCTCCCCCGCCTAAGAGTGCCAGGTCTGGTAAATCCAAGCTGGAGAAGGAACAGGAGAGAGACAAAGCCCTTCCTGCATACAACCCCGGTAGTTTCCAGCCGGGAGAGGCATATGTGCCAGGCAGCTCAAGCGCCCATACGGGTGGTAGAATTGTTCTGGTCGACGAGGAGAATGGAAGCGTTGTTGGTGAACTTGGTGAAGGTTTCCACGTTGTCGAAGATGGCAAGATGGAGCCAGGTTCAAAGAGTAAGTCCCAATTCTCTCAATCGAATATTCATTTCCTGACAAGTTCCAGACCCCGTCGAAATCACTCTTCCTCAAGACGGTTCACAGAACATCGGCGTCGCACCCGCCTCCCAAGAATATCTAGAAATGGCTATGCATCCGGCCTACAAAAATAGCACCCTCGTATCCAAAGCAGCCATGGCATCCCGTCTCGTTGTTACAACGGCAGGTTATGTCTCCAAAACGCTCGAGTCAGGCGCAACCAACTTCACTAAATCCACAAAACCGAACACTAAGCCTATGACATTCACACCCACAACCCACGAAAGAGTCCGCAAAGTTCATACATTCACCCAAGGAGCTGCTGGGTTATCTGCCAAAACTGTAGGGCAAGTCGGAAAAGTCGCGCAAAACTTGGGAGCCTCGTTGACCGCCCGCGGTAATAAGAAGGGAAGTAAGGGAATTGGACCAGATGGCAAACCGATCGACGGATACAAACCTGGACTTTTGAATAAATCTCTGATGGCATTCTCCACGATTGCGGACGGAATCGATCAAGCTGGTCGGAATCTGCTCACCTCGACGAGTACAGCAGCAACTACAGTAGTAGGCCACAAATATGGAGCTGAGGCTGGAGGAATAACCCAGAATATCTCTGGTGGTTTCAAAAATGTTGGTTTAGTCTACATTGATGCAACAGGTGTATCTCGAAAGGCAATTGTAAAATCCGTCGCCAAGGGGATGGTCGTAGGAAAAGTCAGAGGCGGCGGTGATTTGATTGTTGGTGGGGGAGATGGCGGTGTACTTCCTTCGAGAACTTCGAGTCCGGGACCAAGTTCAGCTGCTGCGCAGAACTGGAAAGAGCAGGAGACTTCTCAAGGAAGGAGAACCGATGACTACAGTATGTCGGGTGCTGCTGCTCCGGATGTTGTCGGATTTGGCAGACAAGCTCCGCCTCCGGCTTATGGCGCTGGTGGAAGTGGTGTGGGAGAGCCGTTGGAGGGCCAGAGGGTTGCTGATGTTAAGCGTTGAGGGTTGACCTCTCGACGCGCATTCGATTTTGGGACATCTCTTTTTTCTTTGTGGATACATAGTTGTAAAATAACGAATTTACGATTTTGATGGATCAATGGATGGGAGATTAGGTAGGTTGATGGATGGGAGGTTTTATTTTCAATTGCGGACCGTTGACTCAGCCGCATACCAATCTTCATAATTTTCATTTACAAAATCTGAACATTATCAAGTGCGTCTATCGTCGTGGTATTCAGCCATTTATGTACCCGAAGCATTGGGACACATCTTTAACTTCAAGTCTGTCTAAACTGGCGAAGACACATTGGTGGGCGTGTACTTTCCTAACAGTATATCTCTAACTACGGGTCTGCTTAACATAACAGAAACACCTAGTGATACGCCCTAGCTGAATCTCATCAACTTCAAACGCTCTCCTCTACTGTACTCTACAATTAACATGCCCAGCGTGCTTCCCAATAATCAACTTAACGAGAATACCCTTCCTTTACTTAGGTAGCAGAAAAGTATATATATCTCGTACGGCATAGACAGTTAAGAAACATCGAGCTTCAATTCAACGCACTCGTGATATGAATATGGGCAGATTCAGTTGGGGAGTTTCTAGCATACCCCTCTCTTTGGACCACTCTTGAGTGGCATGAATTACATAACAAAAATACGCTTTTCACCTCGACTACTCATACACCACTTTTACGACTTTTTCATTGGAAGAACGCGAGGGATTTGACAGTAAAAAGAGATTCGACGGTGAATGTTTGTTGTAGCTTGTTTTAGTGTACTTGTTACGAATGCTCTGATCACGGATTGAATACGTTACGTGAGTACTGTTTCGAATTATCGAAAGCTTGGCATGGAATGTTTGTGGATATTGTGCTCTGAAAGGCCTTGTGTTTGCGTGAGTGTTGCGAATTGAACTTCAATAGTTGAGCTGAGTAGTGGCACCTACTTAACTTAACTTAAAGGGATTTTTAGCCCTACCCAGTACACTTCTCGAATCCCCCGTGATATTCCGAGTTCTTACTTTCTCTAAAACGAGCCGGGACTCAAGGTACTTTACTTTACTTTGCCACTTCTTGTATGTCTCCTACGAAAGCGTATAAGAATTCGTGAAAGTCTTGTAGGGTTATTCTACCAGTACTTCGTCCCAGACCGGGATGAATGCATTTTTCCTGAGGTGGCTAAGGCGATTAACACTATAATAACCCTTGAAAAAGCTAAATTTATTTCAATTTCACCTGGGACGAAGTTTATTTTGACGTCAAGTTATACTTTGTATCATTTGTACGGTACAGTGACAACGCAAGTTCGGTCCGAAGCTCTGTCTATGACTTTCGCTTTCCCCGGTTCATATTATATATAGTCAACTTTACCACCCGACCACTCCATCTCGCCATATCAATCTACCACTGCCCATCCTGATCTATCACATACACCCAAGCAACCACAACAAACACCGCGAAGAACCTCATCCGTACTACAATGCGTTTCTCTACGATCCAAATTTTGTTTGCCGCCCTTACGCTTTTCAGCGCAGCAGAGGCAAAGGGTTGCACGAAAGATTCAGACTGTCCAGATTGTACAGGTTTTGCAATCAAAATTTGCATGTAAGTGCTTGTCCATCAACCTCTTATATTCTATACCTTTTCTCGGTTGGCAATGCTGATAATTATTGTTACAGCCCGGAGGCTAATTACGATGGGGGTGGATTGTGTCTTTGCTCTGGGCAATAGTTTTGGAAAGTGGTTTCCCGGCGCTTGCGGAGAACCGTACTGTAAAGAATTCTTATGGAGAGATTCTTCCAGTATTCCAGGAATGAAATGAAATGAAATCCTCAGTCTATTCAGCAATAAGAGTACAAAATTAGGTGACCATACAGCCATTTACCCAACTCTGCGTCCTCTTGTGCTCCCGTGTAACACAAACATAACTAGTAAGGTTAGGTACATGGTAGAACACAAACCACATTATTTTCTAGACCGTAAACTAAGCAATACACCCAACAGCACCCTTATATCGCCTCTATAACCCCTCAAAATACCCTCATTCACTGAATGCAACCCAAATTACAACCCCCTTATCCAGTCTACAAAAGAACGAGACCAAGAAAGTCGACAACAATAAAGAAATCGACAGCAAACCACCCTTCATCTCGTTATCTCGAAAGATAAAGCAAAGTATACGTCAACGGAATACTGGTAGTGATATGGTAGGTTTTGGGAAGGACTGTACGTGGGATTCATTTTGCACTCTGTTAGATGGCCTCTTGGAGCACACCCCCAATATGACACCGTTGTGCTTTCATATTCGTAGCCAATCTAGTCAAGAGAATATCATTCCCCTCCAGATATTTACACACCCCTATTGCTCGTACTGTACCCTAACCAGCGAATCAAAACTTCTCATACTCTAGTAGGTAAAGTAGCCACAAATCCATGTATGATGTCAGTGACCCACCAAGGAAAGATTATCCCTTTTAATTTACAGACAACTCTGTTTATTACTTAATAAGGGATGAAAAGGTATAATAGACAGACTCTTGCATTCGAATCTTCTAGAGTAACCAAAGAAAAGTGTTGATACAAAGATTGAACTTCAAGCAGGAATATTCTGCGTTTAATGATTTAGAATAAGTTGAGTTGGCAAATTTCTGGCCAAATGTCTTCTATTTACAACCAGCCAGGCATTGACTACTCATCTGGAGACCACACCTAGCAGCTACAAAAATAAAGAGGGTAGACAGCTAAGATTGAACTTCTAGCCTGTCTATAATACCGCTTTGGCCTAATAGCGTAGCAAAACTAGCGAATCAAAGGATCGTATCTAGGCGATAAAGAATTATCATAATACATGATCTGTGACAATTTCCAGCTTCAACTGTTCACCATCTTTACACACGAACACAAGCAACTCAAGATAAGTGAAGAACTATGAGTAACTTAAAAAAGAATCTTGCTCAAAAAGATGCTATGCATAAAGACTACGACCGGATTCTCGTATACACTTCACTTCATAGCATCCTCATCACCATCCATTCTCCCAATCCCATCAAACCCCTTCTACCGAGACCGTTTATTTCACCTCCCAAAATGAAATCCCGCTGCATCATAAACACACTACACTCTAATGCCCATGCCAGCCCACCCATCCCTTACTCATAACCCTCCAGATTTTCACCTCTCCACTTCTTAGATCATCCAACTTGAAGCTCTCAAGCTTCACCTTCTTACTCTCCCGACCCTGTTCCCAAGCACGAACCTTTTTCTTTGTACCATCCCATTCCGCCACAACACCAACATGATCTGGTTTTCCGACTTCTGCGGTGTACTTGGCGTGCATTGTTCCGTGTTTGCCTTGGAACTTGGTGTTGCGGAGAGTGATAATGTCTCCGGGTCGAATCTCGTCATTCTGTTGCGTCGAGGCGTTGGCCAGGTTGCTGTAGACAATGGCTCCATAGCCGCGAACTCCGACAGGCAGAAGGACATTATCGAGAGGCTTGAGGAGTTCTTGAACAAGTCCATGGGGTGTGCCGTCTCCAACAACAGTTCCTTGCTTGGAGCTGACGGCTTCGATAATCCGACGACCAAACTGTTCATGTGCTTGTTCTAATTGGTCTTGTCGAAGCCGCGAAGGTGGTTGTTCATGCTTTTGTTCGAGATGGACATCTGCTGGGTTTTCCGCATCGAACTCAGCCGCGATGATGGTCTGAGAGTAATCTTGATACAGGACAAACAGCTCTTTTGTGACCATCGTTTTTCCATTCTGTAATGAGGTTGACTCTTCCATTTCGTATAGAAAGTCTTTTCGATTTTGGAAGTTCGGGGGTAGACTTTTAGGCTGAGTCCACCAGTATGAACTTCGACCAAGATCAACATCGTTGGCCACAAACCCGGGATCCATGGACATTCGGCCGAGCTCGACCGACCGTCTATTGTTACCGCGTGATACATCTAGAGATTGTCGTGGAGCGCCTCTAATTGAAATCTGCGGGCCAGAACTTCCAGGAGCTTCACGAGGAGGAGGAGGTGGAGCTGCTCTGTTTTGTGGCGGTTGCGGTGGTATAGCATTAGGTCTTGGTGGTGACGCCGAGTATAAATCCTCTTCAGTTGACTCATATCTGGGTGATGAAATGCTTATAGGTTTTGAAGGGGCGACAGGAGGGGGTGATTTCTGTGGCGCAGTATACTTGTAAGGGTCGTAATCATCATCATCTTCTTCCAATGGAGCGGAAACTTTAGAGGCAGGGGGAGGTGGAGGTGCAACTCGCGGTACGTCTACAGACTTTCTTGAAATTGGTGGCGGTTGTGCCGGTAAAGGTGGAGGCACTGCACGCGGAGCTGTTGGTGGAAGTGGTGGTGGTGCAGATAATGGCGAAATGATCGGCGATTGACCGTTCGTGTTATCCTCCGAACCCAATTCTTTGGGATGGGCCTTGAGTGCTTCTTTATGTGGAACAGCAGAGGGCATATCTGTATCATAATCGCCATCATACTCCGTCACTTCTTCGTTTTCTTCTTTTGGAAGACTCGATGGAGTAACACGCCGGTCCCCTGTAGACGATCGACTCAAAGGTGTCGGCGCGTTTGGGGGCAGAGGTGGAGGAGCTCGGGTCTGGGGATAAGGAATTACAGGAGTACTGGGAGTACCAGGAATTGGTGGCACTTTGCTAGTACGTCGGTCCTTTGAACCTTGGCTCGTCGTAGGAGACGTTTGATCGTTGAAAAATGACGCTCTTTTTGTTGTTGGTGAAGACTTTGTTGGTGAAGACTGGGCACGAGAAGCTTCGGCCTTTGGAGTAACAACGCTGGCAGACAACTCATCGTCTGATTCTGAACCGGCACTTGGTGACCTTGGTACAGAGGGAGTTGGTCGAGCTATTGTGTCAGAAGGTTATCTGAATTCAGATGAACGAAAAACTTACTATCTTTGGGCACAGGTGGCGGAGCAGGTCTTCCACCAGGGACGGGGGGGGCACCACTTAGTTCCGGAACCACGTCTTCAACATCTGGAACCTCATCGGCTGGACGAGAGCTAGATACTGGAGTATCATCAGCATCATCACGCTCGACAGGTTTGCTGATTTCTTCTGGACTGCGAACTCGAGTTAAACCGGGCATAGGAATCATAGGAACGGGAGGTGCATGGGTGCTTGCGGATGGCCTATCCTCAGCGCCATATTCTGATGATTGCCTTTCACCTACTCCGAGTGATTTCTTCTTTTTTGGAGGTAGAGGTTTGGGCATAGGCATGGCTCCAAACATGCCGTGCATACCCATTCCACCACTCATCTTGGCCATTCGTGCTCTCAATTCTTCTTTTCGACGAACTTCAGGATCTATATCCTCCTCCTCTTCCTCATCTTCTTCGGGCTCCTCAGTTGCGCCTTCTTCTTCTCCAACGTTAGGCTCACGAATAGGGGCAGTAGGCGCCCGGGAGAGTGGTTGGACTCTGGGTTTCTCATCGCTATCATCTTTTCCGGTGGAAATCTCTTCTGGCTCTTCAGTGGTCTCACCAGCTCCAGACACATCTGGTTCATAACCTTCTTCCAAAGATTTTCGTGGTTGCACAGATGAGGTACTTTGAGTGTCCTTTGTAGATTTACGCCTTCGAGGCGCGCCATCTTCTTCTTTGACAGAGTCCATTGATGGTTTACCAATATTTTCCTCTGTGTCTTTCCTCTCTATTGTAGCACCCTCGCCCTCTTCAGTGCCTTCGATAGTATTGTGTGATTCGGTTCGCTTCTTGGCAGGGCGCTTTGGTTTTTCCTTCTTTGCAGCCGCATCTGCATGGCGTGAAGCTTGTTCCATTTGCTGTTTCTGAAGAAGGGCAATTCTTTCTTTCAAGCTCGTAGGTTTGGGCTGCTCTTCTTCATCATCCGCATCTCCTGGGGCTAATCCGGCCTCTTCCGCTTGCCGTTGGTTCTCCAATTCTCTTGCCGCAATCTCCGGGTCTTCATCTCTCCTATATAGTTTTTGGGGAACAGGCTCGCGAGGTGGAGGGATATATGCATTCTTGCTTGGAGGAGGCGCAACAAAAGGCTTCTTGATGAAATTATTAGACACCCCCGAGCCCAATCCACCAGGTTTGAAGGGTGTAGGCGGGGGTGCAGCTTTGGCCTTTTCGAAAGCTGCTATGCGATCCCGGAAAGAGTTGCCAGTAGGCTTCTCTGACACAGGAGGAGGAGAAGACTTCGCAGGTGGCGGGATTTGTTTTGGCGAGGGGATCGGTGGCGCAGCTTCTACAACTCGAGGTTGCGGAGGAGGTACAGACTCTACTTTAGGCGCTGGAGGAGATGGTTCCCGCGCGAACGCAGCTTCTTGAACCGGCTCTGGCTCCAATTGCGGCTCCTCCCCCCGAACGTCTTCAATATGTTGAATTGGTGCCGGGGCGGGCTCAGACACAGGCTCTGGAATAGGTGCTGGAGCCGGCTCTGCCTCTTTTTTCGGCCGACTTGTTCGAGTTGGTCTAGGAGGAGCAGTAGGCTCGTACTTTTCAACAAAGTTCCTAGGGAAAATGCCCTCCTGCTTCACTCCCGAAGCATCTACGTATTCGCCAGAATACCAGTCATCGTCCTCCTCCTCTATGACCGTGATGACTTGTCCGAGAGGGAAATGAAGATCATCGTCATGGGGGGACGAGTATTCGTAAATCGCTTTGACTTTGAAAGGAGGGCTCGCCATGGTGAGCGCGTAGTATTGTGAGAGTGGTTGTTGGAAACTGCCTCGGTTGGATGCCTACGCAAGTGTGGTCGGAGGATGCCCCGAGGCGGCCCACGATTTGGCTTTGATGGTGTAATTAATTCGGACCCGTATGAAGGCACACGATATGTTGTTTCTGTGGTAGAGGTATGGGGTAGTGGAGGAGTGGTTTGTCGAATATGACCGGGGCGTTGATTCAGTGTATCTACTTTCGTACGTAAACGTGCTAGTCTACGTCAGCGCATGAATACAAGTGTGTGAAACAGCTGGAGAGCTCTTGGGTTGGGCGAAGGATAGTGAGGGTGAGTTTGGACCAAAAAAATCGCAGCTTACCAGACGAGAAAATTCAGGCTACATACGAGGGCTGCGATATACAAATCAGTGCGCAGATGGAGGAGGAGGTTGTGGATGCGCCGCGCAGTGAGGGTGCTGTATGTATCATCGGAAGAGACCAAAGCGCTGTGATGTTGGAGTTGTACCAAAAGAGCGAGCCTGGCACGCCCTACAAGGATTTTGGCTGCCCTGGGACTCCGCCAACAACGTACCCACATCTTCATACAAGTACAACCAGACAATCGTTTGCATCTGCCTCTGCCTTTGACTCTCCCTTGGTTGCCACAACAGAGGGCAGTCAATTTATGGCACACGCCGACCAGCTTCAACCTTGTGTGTGCAGACCGACCAACGACCATGGCATCCTCTCAGATGCCCAAATCTATACTGAAAAAGAAGACCGCCTACCCCGCCACGGCAAGCTCCCAGGCCAAAGCTGATCGGGATCGCGAGACGGCCGTGTACCACGCGAATATCCTCAAAACGCGCAAGGAAACTGAATTGGATGTTTTATTGTCAACCGAAACTCTACTTGACTACCCTACCTCTTCCCAGCCAGCCGACAATCCTTCTGTAGAGGATGCGACAACACTCAAAGCGCTTCTTAAACCCTTCCAGCCTTCCGACTACGATGCCCTCATTATAGAGCGCAATATTGAAAATCGCTGCGGTTTTGCACTATGCCCAAAGCCTAATCGCAAAGATACTTCGGGTCAAAAATTCAGATTCATTGGTCAAAGTGGGAGAGCTGAGAATTTCAAAATCGTTCACACCGCCGAGCTCGAGAAATGGTGTTCGGAGGCATGCGCCAGGAGAGCGCTTTACATACGAGTCCAGCTGAGTGAGAGTCCAGCTTGGGAGAGAGAAGCCGTGGAATCTCGCGTTAAGATTGATCTTCTCGACGAACCCAAATCTGTGGAGATGACAGTCGCAGAGGACCTTCAGAGACTTAATTTGAATGATAATGCATTTCAACATAATCAACAAGGTCGCGCTGATTTAGCTATGGAGAGAGGCGACCAGGGATTTACTGCGAGGAATGGGCTTGTCGATGTTAAGATATTGGAAAGAAACGTTCAGCGGCAACCAGAAGCACCGTCTTCAAACGAGGGAGAATTGAGTGGTCAATTTAGTAATATGCATTTAGCTTTAGAAGGTCATACACCAAGCTTCGACACCCGTAACAAGATAGGTCATGATGGAGACGATGAGATGATGGACTGGAAAATGTAAATCATGATTTGGCGTTTGGTTAGATACCCAATGGAAGAATAATCGTTCCCCACTACTCAGCTTAGCCCCCTCCTCTCCCGCACGCATTACTTGGTGTACTTGTCTGATTTTTATGACTGGTACGAACACTGGATGCGTGTTTGGCGTGGGGATGCCAGTAGGAAAACGTACCTGTAGTAACCCACAGTAGTCATCGATGGATGTTGCTGTAGACTTGAGATTTTGCGGGACGTCACGAACCAAAGGGGAACAGAAACAGAAAATGGCAATCAAGCGTCATCTCCAGAGGAGAATCAGCGACACCTTGGGTTGGAATATGTTCTCACATTGATCTAGTATGCATAACCGACCAGCTTTAACGCCCAGTAGCAATCAGATCCTTTCCCAACCATCCGTGGTATCCCATTTTCCTTGCAAATCATTATGAATCTAGCTTCGTTGAGGACGGTCATTAAATCGGCGGCGGGGCTCGACGGCTTGTTGTTGGGAAACTGCGACAACGTTGACTGGGATGGAATCGAACTGGATGCTATATTAGAGATTGACATTCAGAAGGCTACAAAAACACTTACTCCGAGGCTCTTGAGGAGGTCCTTGGTCTCGGTGTCAACCTCGAGTTGGCCAGTCTCGCTCTGGGTGAAGTCGAGGGCAGAAACTTCTGGTACGTATTGATCCTTTCGCTCTCTCTCCTCTTCTTGGAGCTTGAAGGAGATACCGCGGACTGGACCACGTTGAATGCGCTTCATCAGATGGGTGGTGTATCCAGCAATCTGCAATCAATCAATTAGAATGTGACCTAGAAGTATGCGCTCGATTGGCGACAGTCGTACCTTGTTGCGAAGACGCTTGGAAGCAATGATGGCAATTTCATCACAGATTCTCTTGTTGGTCTCGAAATCGAGGGTCAACTTTGGGTAGTATCGCTCAATGATGACCTTGGCGGACTTCTTAACGGTCTTAGTACGAACGCGACCCATGATTGCGGTTTATGATTGAAGAGGTGAAGAGGGTGGTCGGAAATGTCGAATTCGTCGAAGTTTGGTTGTCGTCTTGAAGTTCGTAGGGCTCCAAATTTGGAGGAATATTCAAAAGTTGTGGGCGCCAAGATCTCGATCTGCCCGCTATCATCACGTGATACATCACATGCAACCCCACCTGCACATTTTCAACCTCGCTTGACTTCTCACCTATTTACCACTAGTGACCAGAGACCTTTCGAGGGTTGTATCTTTGGCCTGTAGTCCGGTTGAACAAATGCTGCTAATTTGTCCTAGTATTGCCAGTTCCTTTTCATGAGAACATGTGTGATTTCGCATGGTACGGTATTTGAAGGCCTCTTCCTCCTTCCAAGCTAGGTACCTCGCTGAGGTTTGTTTGGATACTGTCACCTGCCTCGAGCCTGCTACTCGTGACATGGAAACAAGCAACCCAGTATTGTTTTCTATCCCCTTATTCGTTGTGTTGACCTTAGCTTGTACGGCTCCTCTGGAAAGCGTGATCTACGTTCTTTTCTACACGATACCTGGCTACTCGTTTGTGGATCGGGTACATACTTATAAAGCCCGCAATGAATCTTTTGGTGGTCACTTGAAAAAGACAGCAGACACCAAATGATTGCTGAAGGATAGAACAGCCTTCTCTGAAAGTGAAGCTTTTGATACTTGCCATTATGTTTTCACAATTACGCAATACCACCACACGCGCCAAATCCACTTAAGATCACCCCGATAGCGCATAGGCTTTCGTTCACTTAGCAGAACAACTTCACCAAAGCACGAAGTCGACCTGGAATGATTATCGTACTGCCAACTCTGCATCCAAATTCATTAATAACAATGGTAATGTAGAAGGTATTTTTAATTGACAGTATCATTTGTACTTGATCTTCTCTAGTTGTTCTGAAAACTAGCAAGCGAAAAGAGAATTCTGCACAAATTTTCAAGTGAGATATCGATCTCATAGAGGTCAAGGAAATGATAATTTCCGATTCTCTAGTACAAATTATAGGCTGCTTACTTGACCAAATGTGCCTAGTCTTTAGAATTAGTAAAACACCGAGAGAGGAAATATTCGTGTCTCGACTCACCAGTCAATTTCAATCACCCGGTCAGGCTCTCCTACTCATTACGGACGCCAAATTGTGCCAACGAAGTACGTTCAGACGGATCTTAAGTTACACGCACATTTGGCACTTTCTCGATTTCATGTCCCATCTAGTTACATTCCTCAGCTTCCTGTTGTTCACACTTCTCTACCTGCCCTTGAGTAAAAGGTACACATTTAAAGAAAAGTAATCTGGCACGTCTGGGTTAGTTCCACCGAGTTTTGGAATCTTTGAGCTTTGCAAGGGGGAAGCTGAGGATGATGGGTATAAGTTGGAGTGGCTTTGGACTAATTGTAAGGAAGGTTTTTATAAAGTCATTACTGAACATTTAATTGAACCTTTATAAGCCAGCGATCCCAACATATTAAAGAAATAATTGTTGTCAGGAATCGGTCCCCTTCGCTTATTTTCACTTCGATTCCTTGGATGCCTGCCACATGCCTGCCAGCGCTTTTCAAATCTTGCTAGCGTGTTACTAGCGTGTTCGGCTGATACTTTGAGCCACTTCGCTAGAGTACAGTATGGGTACTAGCACCGTCCTTAGTTCAGATAATTCAAGACCTCTGCCCCAAATCATATCTGAGAACAACAATCAACTACTTAAGCTGTACTCTCAACTAGTATTTAAATCGAGTGGGGTTAAGTAGTAATTACAACTACTTGTAGGTAATTCTTGAGAGGAACCAATTGCAAGATTTTCTTTATATGATACGCCATGCCGCTACCACATTGATTCACGACAAGATTTTTCCGGTTTATGAAAGTCTCGAAATGGGTATTTGCTCCATTCTTCATTTTTATCTACCGCTTAAGTCACTATATCACTAGTTAGTAACAAAGCTCGGCATCTGGAATTCCTTTCTATTCCAGGACCCCCCTCTAGAATAATTCTATTCCTTTTAGGATTTAGCTAGAATTATTTTATTCTAGAGGCATATATTCTATAGGATTTCTAGAATTTCTAGCTAGAATTTATTATATAACCCGGAAAATTGTCCTTCTACTCTAGTAGGCTAATAGGAAGCTTGTCTTTTACTAGTTCGTATATTTTATAAATACTAAAGTTTATAGATTCTTAATAATACTATTAATTATATTATAAACAAACTATTATAATATCGCCTCTATATATATCCCTAGGCTAGTATAAAGTCTCTATATTATCCGGTAGCTCTCTTATATAATTAAGTTAATTATTACTAAATCGTAGCCTATTCCGAAGCCCTAGAAGCCTATAAAGCCCCCGCCTTCCTTCCCCGTAATACCGAGTCTCGAAGCCTGTCCTACTACTTTAAAAGACCGATAACTACTTCTTTAAGAGTCCTAAGCCTCTATTTTATAGAGTAATTATCTTAAATAAACCTTTAAAGATACTAGTAACTTATATAACTCTTAGCTATATAAAGTAGATAGTAAAAAGTATAAAGCGTAAAATTAAGGGTAGTACTATATATACTAGTTACTACCGAATCTACTATCCTAGTATACTGTAACGAATACTCAAACTGGCTAACTAAACTTGGCTGGGTGTTCGCTGGTTGGTATGCTATGATAAGAAGAAGACTATCGGGTTGTTCACTTGGAAGTGAACTCGTTACTTGTATCAAAGATGTCAAACTAATATGATAAGATTGATAACTAAGTTGAGCACGAAGCTCCTATCTAATGGCAGACGTGCCAGTCTTATATAGAAACTTCGTTCTCCTAAATCAGTGCCCGTCGCTCTGATCCTTTCTGATTCCTCAGAGGTCGTCAGGCCGACCACTGATGCCAGTCGATCATGTGACAGTAACCAAAGGAAATCCCTGGACCGCTTAGCTAGCCTAAGCGTCCCTATTTTTCTATAAGAAACCTGGACGTGCCTGTCGAGGGTTGCGCCTCTTTATTATGACAAGTATCACGTGAGCACGTGATTCGTGACATATACTACTTTTAGCTAAGTATATAAAGAGATCAAAAGCAAAACTAATTATATTTAATTCTTAATTTATAATTAAGGTAAAGCGTAAGAAGGTAGTTATTAGTTATGAATCTAAGTTTATAGAACTCTTTTAGCCTATATAACTATAAATAATCTAGCCTTTTAATTTATTAAATAATAGTCTACTAAGGAGCTTTTTATATACCTATACCTAGGAGTTAAGTTAATATCTATACGAACTTTACTTCGCTTAATAAAGGACAAATTCTACTAGGGCTAGAAATTACTATAAATAGAGTTTATAGTATATACTTTCGATATTAAACGAGTTACTCTTATAACTAATACCTAGACCTTCAAACAACCTTTTTTCGAGATCAAATTTTTTGTTCTAAATCACTTGCTCTCACTTGCTTGTACTAAACAAGCCGATTAC